ATTGCTGCTGAGATCTAAGGGAATGTTAAGCTCAACAGCACTGTGGCTCTTTGTCAGCCTGGCTACAGTGCTGAAAAGAAACCTGGGGTTGTTCTTATTTTCCTCAATCAGTGATGAATAAAATGCGATTCTGGCACTATGAAGGGCTTTCTTATATGTTATTAAACTATCTTTCCAGGCTATAAAAAACTCTTCTGACTTAGTGGAGCGCCACCTCCTTTCCATTTTTCGTGATGCCTGCTTTAGGGAGCGGAGCTGCGAGCTGTACCACGGGGTTAGCCTCCTCTGTTTCACTACCTTCTTTTTCAGAGGGGCAATGGTATCAAGTGTATTACGCAGGAAGGCTGCAGCAGTGATTTGAATAATTCTGTGTACAGTTACCCACTATTTTAATTTGTACACACAGTACATTTATTTTTTAAGCTAAGTGTGTGGCTTGTTTACTTCCAGTCTACTGTGACAATGGCAACTGGTAAATGTGAAATGTACTCTACTCATTGAATTTGGTATCATAGTTTTGTAAGTTGTTTGCCTATACACACAAGGCCTGCAGCTATTTACAGCCTTTGAACCGCTGTCTATAAATCCAACTTGCCACTGTCAGTAATGTCACATTGTCTCCTGAGAATAAACCTCCTCCTTGTTGAAACTGTTTTTAGTTCTAGGTTTATTTGAGCATGATTCCCTTGAGTGATTCTGAGAAGATACATTTTGATCCAGATTTTTTTTTTTTTTTTTTTTTTGCTATGTAACAGTGAGTTTTTGTCTTATAAGGGTGACCAATCTTGCCTGGATCACAGCTTCTCCTCCATTAACAATGACTTGGCTCTGTGCGACGACCCACTTTTACCCTCAAGGAAGATCATAGGGGACCGAGGAGGCCCTGCCTCCATGAAAGAGAACATATGTCAGGTGAGTTTTAACCCCCAAGGGCCTAATTCATCAATGGAAACTGATCTTCAGAGCTATCTCCTCTGCATCAGAACCAGTGTTCTGGAGGACATTTCAAGATATATTTTATCAGTGATAGAGTAAACTTGAGGAGATTGAACCACTGGTGTCTCTTTCTTTGATATGTCTGATGTTTCATAAGTCAGTAAGTCAAAGGGGTTTTAGCATCACTTTCCCTCACTGGTCAGGTCTGCAGTAAATTGAGGTCTGCTGGCAGATAAACATTCAGAAAATTTTGGTTTGTTGTTGAGAACAGCTTTTGGTGGAATATATGTTTAATTTTGACCACACTCTTTAGCAGGGCCATTAGCCTCAACTAAATCACTTCATGTATTTTGTGGATATTTCGTTCCATAGTACTTTAAGTAGCTATTGTATTAGTCTGCGAAAATCCAGGGGTAATATCATGTTTACCCATCAGCATACAAAGCTACTTTCATAGCTACATTAAATCGCTCACTCACTACTGTATTATGTCTTAAAGCAGGTTTTGTTTTTTTATCTCAGGTGTGTGAGAAGACGGGGGAGTTGCTGCTCTGTGAGGGTCAGTGCTGTGGAGCCTTCCACCTGCCCTGCATCTCTCTGGCCCAGGCACCGAGAGGGAAGTTTGTCTGTCCCGAGTGCAAATCAGGTAGAATTTTCCTTTTTAAATGTGAAAATGGAAATCAGATTAATACTAAAAGAAATCTTTAGTCTTCTGTTGTAATTGTATTGATAGATACAGTATATGTGAATATTGATAGAATATCTGATACAGTAGGTGTTAATGTGCACTGCTAAAGGTAGAAAAGGTTAGGATGTATACTTACAATGACTAAGTTAGATCATGTTTTTTTTTTTCTTCCAGGCATCCACACCTGCTTTGTGTGTAAAAAGCGCAGTGAGGATGTGCGGCGCTGTATGATCCCTGTGTGTGGGAAGTTTTACCATGGGGAGTGTATCGCCAACTATGCCCCAACCGCACCTGTAAACCGAGGCTTCCGCTGCTCAATCCACGTCTGTCTCACCTGCTTCATTACCAATCCCAACAGCTCGTCCATCTCGAAAGGTAAACAGAAGACACTCTGATAATGCCTTGACCTTGTGCACCTTCTGTGCCCTCACTGTACATTTATTCTCTTGTTTTGGTCTGTAGGTCGCCTAGTACGGTGTGTGCGCTGCCCAGTAGCTTATCACGCTACAGACCTCTGCATGGCAGCGGGCAGTGTTGTCCTCTCCAACAACAGCATTGTCTGTCCCAATCACTTCACCCCCCGCCGCGGTGTCAAGAACCATGAACACGTCAACGTTAGCTGGTGCTTCGTCTGCACAGAAGGTACGGCTGTAGGAACACGTGGAGTAATTTTAACCTGATATGGTCCAATTCATTGAAACCCCAGCCCGACCTGAAAAGCCAATAAAATTTCATCCAGACTTTAGCCTGAAACTGTTTGGGACAGGACAGTTTGACTTTTTGCTTAGAGCAGGGGAGAAACTTTTGGCTTTTTTTCAATACAGATTTCTATTTTATGGGACTCCTTGTGTGATTTCTTGTCTTAAAATAAAACATATATCTTCATATGTACACATACAGAATATGTGAGCCCCACTGATAAAGGACACCCTGACACCATCACAGTTAAAACAATGCTGTTCCTTCCCTGTGCTCCAGGGGGAAGTCTGCTGTGCTGTGAGTCCTGTCCTGCTGCATTCCACTGTGAGTGTCTGAACATTGAGATGCCTAAAGGCAGCTGGTACTGCAATGACTGCAAGGCTGGGAAGAAACCGCGCTACAAGGACATCCTCTGGGTGAAGGTGGGACGGTACAGGTCAGTGTCAAACTGGAGAAACTGTTGATAGTTAGTGTGCAGTTAAAAACTCAAATCACCTGGCTAACACAGAGAGCCATGAAAATTATGGGAGTTAAGCATCATCCCGCACTCCAGGCCGTGTATGAGGAAATGATTATCAGACAGGCCTAGAAGATTATTTCAGATACCACTCGTTCTCCATCCAGAGTACCAGCTTCTGCCTTTCAACAGATGTTTGAGTTCCCTTGTGTAGATCTAACTATTTTAAAAATTCTTTTGTTTGTGTTTATCAAGACCTTAAATGGCAAGCTAGCTAAGACCTAATATCCCCTGTAACAGTTTTAATTAAATTAAATGTTATGAATTTATGTTTTTCTACAGCAGTTTTAAACTTGTGGTATAATGTACAAGTCTGATGGTATGGGTGCTGTGTAATCATTAGTTGCTGCCCTGTTCTACATACCAAAGGAGTCAAATATAACCAGTGTTAACAACAAGCATTGCCAGACAAAGTCTCATCATTACACAAAATTGACACAATTCATCACTTTTTATCCCTTTAAATCTGCTGGAGACGGATACAGGGTCACTCCTCTGTACAATAAACAGACACTTTTTGTTAAATGCCTAAGAGACCATTGTTGTTGTTCCACACGCCTGTAAAGGTGGTGGCCAGCAGAGGTCAGCCACCCAAAAACGATCCCAGAGAACATCCAGCGGATGAGGCACGATGTCGGGGAGTTCCCTGTTCACTTTTTTGGCTCCAACGACTACCTGTGGACCTACCAGGCCAGAGTCTTCCCTTATATGGATGTGGATGCCAACAGCAGAGAAAAGATGGGGAAAGGTGTTGATGCCACTTACAAGAAAGGTATTCACTGCATTCAGCAAAATGGCTTCTTTAAGGTGTTTGTTGATAGAGTTTTGTCTTAGTGTAGTTATGATGAATGTTTTCTTGCTTAATGACGTGTCGTGACTCAACATGGCTGTTGATCTCCCTCCTCAGCTTTGGAGGAGGCAGCTGTGCGATTTCGCGAGCTGCAGGCAGAGAAGGAGCTTCGGCAGCTTCAAGAGGACAGGAAGAACGACAGGAAGCCTCCTCCGTACAAACATATTAAGGTAAAGGAGAACAGTTGTGGTATAACTTTGTGTTATTGTTAAGTCCACAATCATGTTTATTCAAAAATGAAATAGCTGTATCTGAGTTCCAAAATGTTGTTGCTAATATATAGCATCTTCTTCAGCCTTCAGGAGACATAACTGGGTTTCTAGACAGAAAGCAACTGAACTTCAGGTTGACATGACAACAAAACTTATGTTTCTAAGATGTGTGAAAAAAGAAAATGGATCACCAGAATTTTTCCCGCTTGCCTCTCAGGGCTTCTGTGTTCAGTGGATCACATGACAAAATTTGATTGGATGTTTCTTGCCTCAATACGAACATCATTGGATTCACTTGGTAACAAGCTTTAACTGTGTTCAGAGTTAATGTTTGCTTCCACCTGTCACCCATTCAGGTGAATCGACCAATTGGAAAGGTCCAGATCTTTACAGCAGACCTATCAGAGATCCCACGCTGTAACTGTAAGGCAAAAGACGAGAGCCCGTGTGGGATGGACTCAGAGTGTATCAACCGCATGCTGCTGTACGAATGTCATCCGCAGGTACAGAAAAGCCACCAGCTGCTGGATTCACCAGCTAGTCTCTGACTGTGTCTGTCTACTAAACAAAGTGTTTTTAGAGCTGTCTGTTGCATCTGGAAGCAATGCTGATAAGAGTATTAAGAATCCATAAAAGCAAAATAATGAGATGCAATATGCCAACGTGCTCCAAACTGCTGAGGGCAACAGTCTGGTGAAACGTCTGTATGTGCATTTGGTCCACTGTGTATATATAAACATATTGATTAGAGCAGCTTTAAAACATAAAAATACTATACATTACTTGAGAATGTGTGCACTGTAATATAAATATAGTGTAAAAATGCTATCTAGACAATATGGTCTTAAATAGCTTCCTTAACTGTTGTAATACTGAGGACAGTGTGGTTTGATACTGTCAGGTGTAAAGTGTCCCTGTGGTCATATACAACTCGTATTTTAATGACCCTCCGAACTTGCAGGTTTGCCCAGCAGGTGAACGGTGCCTCAACCAGGCGTTCACTAAGCGTCAGTACAGCCAAGTGGAGATCTTCAGGACGCTGTCCCGAGGCTGGGGGCTCCGATGTGTCCATGACATCAAAAAGGTAAGTGTACTACTGTCATTAATGTACCAGCGCTACCTCAGATGGTGCACTTGATGTTCACTGGGACCAGATCAGGCTAAGTAATGAGCGTTTGCTGTGTTTTTCTCTCAGGGTCAGTTTGTGAGTGAGTATGTTGGGGAGGTGATTGACGAAGAGGAGTGCAGGTCAAGGATCAGACATGCCCAGGAGAATGACATCTGTAATTTCTACATGCTAACTCTGGACAAGGTACAGCTCTGAGCCGGAGTCAGTGTGTCCTAGTTGCATACTGCAGTTTGTAGTAATATTATAAACTCATGTTGACAATATACTGTTTTGCTGATAAGAAAGCAAGAAATGAATGCAATGTTTTTCATATGTAAATGATCATCCATTTGATCAATTACTCTATTCAGCCTGGAAAAAAGTGAAAAAAAAAGAATCTGAATTTATTTTTCAAGGGCATCAAACATTCATCTACTGGTTGGAGCGTGTTTTATTAAAATAGTTTGTTTACACAGACCAGCTGTAGCGTAGGTGTCTAGATGCTGTCCGTGAATCACAAGGCCATAGTTGTGGCGTGGTTCAGAATCACCAGTTTGCCATCTGAGTATCTGTTCTGCACCAGAATACCTACAGCTTTCTTTGCACTGCATCTTCTAAATGAAACTCCCACCTTCGTGTGTTGTGCACCGCACAGTGAATTTCAAGATCAGGCAAATAGCAACTCAGTCAGAACCATGAAAATAGAGCCCCTGAAACATCCACAGCCCTTTTGTAAAGTCCACAGTTTGACTCCTTTCTCTCTTTGCCTCATGTTTTCTGTGTACTAGTGCTGTCTAATGAAGCCCAAATGCCAAAAAGAAGAATATGTAGTACTTTATATGCTGTTTATATTATGCAACTGCAACAGGTAATGACAGTAGAGAGATTGTTTTTTAGAATCTTTAATTAGTGCTTGTGTGTGGCTGTGCATCAGGACCGGATCATTGATGCTGGACCAAAGGGGAATGAGGCTCGCTTCATGAACCACAGCTGTCAGCCCAACTGTGAGACCCAGAAGTGGACAGTGAGCGGAGACACCCGGGTGGGACTGTTCGCTCTGGTGGATATTACTGCGGGTATGCTGCTTCTTTAAAGGCTAAAATTAAAGACCACCTCTTTTATCGGGTGGTTTGTTAAATCCACAACTGTCAGTAACTTCTTTGGAATCACAGAAATGCGTGCTCTTTTCATTAAACTTGATAATGTGAGGCACATGTGAAAACCTCGGCGCCTTCCTGACTCCAGATGTGACTGTAAATCCACTTTGGGCCACAGCCATTAATTGGAGAAAACAAGTAAACCTTATGTGGAGATGTTTCACTATTTTATTTAGTGATACATTTTTAAAATATTAAAATTGTTATTGATACTTTGTTGTTCTGTAGATTGATCCATTTCGAATTACTTACTAAAGCAGGTTTTTCAACCATCGCATCAGACATAGCTGTAGTTACTGTTAGGCTTCAGCAGTCTGAGTCAGATCAGGTTATTTCAGTTTCATCCCCTTTTCAGTTTTTTGTGTGTGTTGGTTCAGGCACTGAACTTACCTTCAACTACAACCTGGAGTGTTTGGGGAACGGGAAGACAGTGTGTAAATGTGGAGCACCAAACTGCAGCGGCTTCCTGGGCGTCAGGCCAAAGGTGAGAGGAATGACACGAATGAAATCCTGTTTGGTTTGTGTTGAGCACCTGGGTTACAGTTCATTGAGTGCTGAATTCTGTCAACTACTGTATTTCTTTGACTCACTGCTTGAAGGAGAGTGTTGAGGAGAAAGATCAGAACATAAAATCAACTTTCCTTAAGAAGTCTTCTCAAAAAACACAGTACCACCAGTGTTCTTGTTAATCAACATGTTTATTAATCATCCTCCACTGTCAATCAACCTCTCTGCATCTAGAACAACCCTCCATCTGATGACAAAGGCCGGAAGTTGAAGAGGAGAGGCCATGGCAAGAAAAAGAAAAAAGTGGTGGTGACCAAAGAAAGAGAGGACGAGTGTTTCAGCTGCGGAGACGGAGGACAGATGGTTTCCTGTAAGAGACCTGGATGCCCCAAAGTTTACCACGCCGACTGCCTCAACCTCACCAAGAGGCCTGCAGGTCAGTGATTCTGCCTGGCCCACATAGTGCACCAGCATTTTTGTGGTTCTTTTGTGTTTCTGTTGGTATAATCTGTGGTGCTGCCCAGTTTTCCTTGGTAACATGATGAAGAATAATTAAGCAGTATTTGTCATTTTGGGATGTTTAACATTCAGAGAGACATAAGGAAAAAACACATGCCTGTGACTAACATGAAAATGCGAGTGTAGAAAAACAATATATAGAAGACAAGACAAGTAACAGGAATAGAATAAATGAATTTTAGTATGTTAAAGGAAGAACTGAGTTTAGTTAGATAGTGAACAATGATCCCATTGCACTGTAAACACATGTAGTTTAAACTAAATGGATGGATGAACATGTTTAAAAATAATCAGGTGCTGTAAATATCAAGACTTATTTTTTACATTTTAATTCTGAATAAACTTTGTTTCAGTTCTAAGTTTGAATTATGCCTCAGAGGACATGTAGAGTGTTGCATTTTATGGTGTGGCCATTTGAGGTGAAGCTCATTTTAACTGCTTTTTATTGTGCTGGCTAGTTGAATTTAGAGTGATGTCATATGTTATGAGCTGAACATGCATTTAGTAGTTGTTCATCAAGTAAAAGCATAATATTTCCCTCTGAAATGTAATGAAGTATAAAGTAGAAGAAAATTGAAGTATTTACTTTCCATACCTACTTTATTTAGATATTAAGTATTGTTTTTTGCTTTTATATAGCACACTTTGTGTTGCATATTATTCATGAATTATGCTATAATAGTAAAATATATTGCTTTCCTTGACATTCTTGCCAATATTTTAATATTCACTGTAGGTCGTTGGGAATGTCCGTGGCATCAATGTGACATATGTGGTAAGGAGGCAGCGTCTTTCTGTGAGATGTGTCCCAGTTCCTACTGCTGCCAGCATCGCGACGGCCTGCTCTTTATCTCCAAGTTGGATGGCAAGTTGTCCTGCAGTGAACATGACCCCTGTGGGCCAGAACCGCTTGAACCAGGAGAGATCAGGGAGTACACACCTGACCCCAGAGCCTTGACCTCAGGACTGGGCATGGCCATCATCCCCTCTGCTACTTCTAACACTACCACCAGTCTGAACCCAACCACTAGGAGAGTCCAGGAGATGAGTGCTGGCGCTGGCATGTGTGCCGCTGAGTCATTTCCTGCCTTTTCCATCCCCGTACCCATCACCATTCCCGTCACTGCTCCTGCCGTCTCGTCTCCCCCCGGCAACTCTGACGCTCCCAGCAGCCCCCAAGTGTTTGACCTCCCGCACTACTCACCCATCTCCTCATATGAGGAGGAGAGGGATGTCTTAGAGGATGAAGAGGGAGAGGAAGAGCTGCTGGAAGAGGTGGAGGAAGAGTTAGCGGAAGAGGGTGAGATGGGAAGACAGAAATCAGATCCCCACGAAGAGGATGAAGAAGAAGAGATAGAGGAGGTGGGACTGGAATACCTGGAGATCAAAGAGGAAGAGGAAGAGGAGGAGGAGGAGGAGGAGGAGGAGGAAGAGGAGGAAGAGGAGGAGTGACATACAGTGGATTATTATTTACAGTGGCATGGGACATGGAGAAGCAAGTGGAGATCAGCCAGTCCTATTACATAAGTAGTCCAGTCTTTATGGTTTGTATTCAGTGAGCAGGTGGATGAATGGAGGATTTTTAGGACAAAACTAAATCAGTACGTAAATAAATTGTGAAGTTTATACATCAATAGATAAAAAGCATATACTGTATACTCTATAGACTGTAAACAAACGTGAGACAAATGAAAGGAAAAACCAACACAAAACATGATTTATTGTAGGAGTATTACTGATTTGTTCATGGAAGAAAGAAAGCTGCTTCTCAAGTCTCTTATATGCTTTGTTGTTTCCCTCACTCTTTTACTTGTCTTATGCGAAGAGAGAGGACTTGAGGAAACACATTATTAATGACATGAGGCGTCCTTTACTCCCATCCTTCATCTGAAGCATCCACTCACCAAATGATTTCTGATAAAATGGTATGTCAGTTCATAAAAAACTTCTGTGAAGGATGGTGGTCTCATGATTCCTTGCTCATGGGTCCTCTAGCAGCCTCCTCACTCCTCAGAGCTGATATAAGAGACTTGGAACATCCTTGGTCTGTCAGCCAGAGTGACTTCCAGGTCGACTGAGGACATAGAAGCAATTATATAAGAGACTTGGGAAGCAGCTAGTGTGTAATTCACTCACGGTTGCATCCTATAAGGACAGATGATGTCATGAGATGCACCAACCCTGTTTGACTATATTCATAGCTCTAGCCACAAACAGGACTATTATATTTATCTTAATTGAAAATCTTTCTATATTATGTCAGTTCAATTAAATTTTATTTGTACAGCACAAAATCACAACAAAAATCATCACAGGACACTTCACAAAGTCAGGTCTAGACCTTACTATTGTTATTTTTATAGAGGAAAAACCCAACAAATTTCCCTTGAGCAGCACTTGGCAACAGTGGGGAGGGAAAAACACCCTTTAATGGAAAGAAACCTCCGACAGACCCTGGCTCCTGGTGGGCAGCCCTCTGCCTGGACCAGTTAGGACGAGTGGATAGAGGAGAGAAAAGGAAAGCATCAGGAAACAACAAACAAAACAATGAACAGACAAACAGGTTAATGTGGCCGGTGACTGCTCATCAGAAACATGGGACCAGGAATACCTGCAGAAAGTAACAGAGAGAGAGAGAGGAGACGCACAGTTAATGACATGTAATGGTGTCATAAATACATGGAGAGTGAGGAGAGGGGAGGAGAGGAGCTCAGAGTAGCAATCTAGGCCTATAGCATTATAACTAGGGGAAGGCTCAGGGTCACCAGGTGATGATCAGGTGTGTGGCCTAAGTATAAGCTCATCATAAAGACTGCTTTTGATGCTGCACTGTCAGGAAAAGAGCATCAGTGCACAATTTCCCATAGGTGCAGAACTGGGTTGAGATCTGGTGACTGTGAAGGTCACAGGGTGTGATTCACATTATTTTCATACGCTCAGCTTTTACTTACTTTAATTTGTCATTCATCTGTAAGTAGATAGTTAAGTGTCACAGTTTATTTATGGATTTATTGATTTCATTTTGTCCTATTAATCACCACATATTCCCCGAGCTTGGTATACACTTGCTATGGAGACAGTTCATGGCACAGTGATTTGCACACACTGGCTGCACCTTCATACGAGAGATATGATGAAGAAGTTTATCTGGAACTGCTAGATAATCTTTGGCATTTGTAAACATATTTCTCTCTAATATACTTCTTTTTCACATTATTATTACATTAACCTCACTTGCTAGTTTATTTGGGTATTTCTCTGAGTAGTAGTTCAGGTGTCATATACAGTATGTCAGCAAATTGACCTGCAGAAACTTAATGTAGCTGGAGACCGTTGTATCATGCTAGAAGAGATGCACTGTAGCTTCCTGTCAGGGGCTAAATTCTTGAGCCCATGATTCCTGGGACATGATAACTACCAACAGAGTCACAGCAGTGCTCAGTCTACTAAACGACTCCTACTCATATACCTTTGAATCAAACAGAGACAATATTTACATTGCTGCAGTTGGACGGTGTCCTAGAAAAACAGCATCATCTGTAAATAAATCAGTGTGGTTGTGCTTTCAGACATGAAAGCTCCAATGAAACAACTTGTTGAGTTAGAGGAATATTAGTCCAGTGATGTGTAAGTGGGATTTTACTGGACACATACTGCTGAGGAAACTGCCTGCTACAACCACTTGAATCAACTTTATCCAGGATTGGTGACCTGATGCACAGGAGTTGCTGCTTCCACTAACTCCAGTCTCCCCTCCGTCTCCAGTTCTTCTTGATGCCTGATATTATTAGATGGTGCTTCAGCAGTCAAGTGTTTCAAGGTCACAAAATCTATGAAAATGTGGAAGTGCCAGGTGATCAGCTGTCTGGTGTAGCCCTCACCATATGTCCACGCAACAAGCAACTTAAGGAGACTATCACTACAATTTTGTGGTTGTTGGTGACAGATGTTGAAATAGATGCAGATTAATGGAATCATTTTTTTAGACATAGATGTGGATTGAAGCTGCCAACAGCCAGTATGAGGAAGAAATATTCTCTAGATGTGACCATTTCATGCCAAAAACAATTCCCAGACTAACCAGGATTCAGTGTTTGACTGAGAGTAGTCTTCATTTCAGGGTGTGAAAGACGCAAAGAAAGTATTTATGACATCATGGGACATTAAAACTGTCAAAGCTCCATAAGCCGGGCTGAGGCAGGTTGGACCGCACAGGCTGATGCTCCTGAAGCTGGTTGAGTGAAATGGACAACACAAAATGAGAACTCATTGTTGCCCTTGTGGTGGCTGGTGGTCTGGATGCAGAGATAGCACTTTGCTCCAGCGTGTAAGCTGTTTCTATAATATTCTGTAACGCACAAGTGATGACGAGGGAGAGTTGGGATGTTGGTGCTCACTCTCCTCGGTCTTCACTCTCCATTGAGGGGAATCACGTCTTTGACTGGGTCATGAGAATGAAGGACTCTGCCATGATGCTTGCACTTCAGTATATGTTCTTGCCATGTGTTTTGCTCTGTCTTCAAGCTTCTAATATTGTCTGTGTGTTACCTTCCAATGCCTTAGTGTGCATTTCTTCTGAGATATTTTTAAGGAGTGGTTTGGCACCTGTGAAAGCCACATTTCCCTACTAATGCCTTTTTACAGTTGCCCAAACAAGCAGTGTTTCATTCCAGTTTAATTATGACCTGTTAGAACACAGCCACTGACCTGTTTAAACAACTGCTATATAAATATATAAGAAGAAGAAGGTATAAAATAAGCACTTTGTACTGGCCTCAATCATTTTTCATTTATTGGCTACATGTGTTGCTAAAATTAAAGCCACAATGTAGATGATGTGTTCTTTTTAGCATCTGTTAAATTATCTTGATGATAAGACATTAAAAATTCTACTTGTGTGGCTTTAAATTGAATGAAATCAGATAGCTGTGTACAAATGCAATTATTTTACTACTCAGGTGCTTTTAAGTATATTAAAAGTTGATTATGTTTTTCTGCAACACAAGCCAGAATGTCAAAAGCTAATTGGCTTCACTGGATAAGTTGTTGCAAAGTGCTAACAAAATGTTAAAATGGCATATTCACATTTTAAAGACAGGTGCGGTTTTAAGATCCATTTACCTTGAAATATGGAAAGAAAGCCCCAAACACTTCATTTTCTTAGAATATATGTCACTGGACAAGTTGCTGGTAAATGTTAAAATAATCTTTGATAAATTTGGCTAAAATGACGTGGTCATATTTTGCTGTCCATTGCCATATTAAATATGCATTTGGCAGAGAATATGAACAGAGAATCACAGAAATGTTTTTCAGCATTTTGAGAAAGTGAGCCAAACGCTAATTAGCCTCACTGGATAAGAATTTGCGGAATGCTAACACAATAATCTTTTTTAATAATAATAACTCCTTTTATCAAGATGACCAGGTTAATATGCACATTTAGATTAAAATGCACAATTGTGATTTCCTTTGAACCATTTGTATAAATTGGCAAATTCCATATATAGAGAGAGAGAGAGGATTTGACTTTAGAGAGAGTTTTATTTTGTTTATAGTTTAAATCTTTAACAACTACTGATGCTTGATCCCAGGTATGATCAGTAGATAGTCAATTATTACAACTGTATGTTTTGAATAAATAGCTTTCTATTTCCAACAGAGTGGACACTAAAGTGTAATGCTGTAAAGTGTAAATATAGCCGGTCGTTGATTTCAAATGTCAAATTAAAGTAAATTACAATATTAAAAATCCAATAATGTGTCAGGGGTAGTGTATCACTATTCCCTTTAATTCTGCAGCTGAACACTGAGAGGAGATGAAGTATTGACCTGTGGAAACTTTGACCTGAGAAGCCACATGATGATAATCTATGAAATAAACTTGTAACTCAAATTAACATTTTGTTAAACCAGGTCGCTCTTGTTGAAGAGCGGCTTTCATCCATGAGAAGCATCTGTTGTTCTTGAGTGTCATCCCATTGCTGGAGGACAGCTACGGTAAGTCAGTATTTGACCTTAAATATTTAATGCTCTTCCCAGTGCAAACAGTCATTATTTAAATTTGCATTAACTACAGTTTAACACAGATTCAAGTAAATCAAGTTAAAAAAAACTGTCTAGAAGGGTTTTCTCCTTGCAATATTCGGTTTATGGTTCTTGTTTTGCTGGGTTTATGGTCCAGGACACATGGTTCATTTATGTCAGACATAACCGTGCAGTTCATAAAGAATTTAAGTGAGAAGTTGCTAAAATTTACACCATCAACACAGTTAGAAAAGTTGAGTTAGTTAAATTATCAAATGGACACATACTGCTGAATTGACAATAAAATCCTTGAACCTTGAAATGCTCCATGACAAATGAGACTGTATGATACGATCGAAAGCTCCAGAAAAGCTACTAAATGGAACTTCTGATGAGATTGTTTTCTAAACTTTATTATTAGTTGAAGACTTATTTAGTGGTCAAAATAAACCCCTTCCACCAGGTTAAAACATTGAGAGTAAAGAAATGACATTCAAACACTCATCACTAAAGATGATAGCAGAGGAAAATAAAAGAAAACAGTGACAGGCTTCTTGCAGGAAACAAGACTGATCAGGTGTTAATGTTAACGTTACCTGGACACGTGGTTTGCATTGTAAGGAACCAACACAACTTTGTGTCCCTCCAGTAGAGTGTTCTCATTTATCTTCATGGTGCCAAACCAGACACAAACACCAACAGGACCGATTATAACAATAAACTAAATTCAACCTTTGTACGTCCCATTAATATATTATAACAGCTTGATACCGAATCACACGATGGGGACCATTCCTCACACAGATGTATTAAGGGGAAAAGGTAGGAAATTTTTCGATGTCTGTGTTATAAGACCCCTCCTTGAACCTTATCATGGTGGAGGGGTTTGAGTACCCGAATGATCCTAGGTGCTATGTTGTCAGGGGCTATATGCCCCTGGTAGGGTCTCCCAAGGCAAACAGGTCCTAGGTGACAGGTCAGACTAAGAGCAGTTCAAGACCCCCTTATGAAAGGACTAAAATCAAGGACCATGACGTCGCCCGGTATGGCGCAACCGAGGCCCCACCCTGGAGCCAGGCCCGGGGTTGGGGCTCGAATGCGAACGCCTGGTGGCCAGGCCTCTTCCCACGGGGCCCGGCCAGGCTTAGCCCGAACGAGCGACATGGGGACGTCCTCCCGTGGGCCCGCCACCTGCAGGACGATCCGTAAGGGGCTGGTGCATAGTGGAAAGTTCACTCAGGTTAACCCTTTTTCTTATTCTTTTACACAAATGCAAATGGATAGTAAGCTCATATGTTACAAAGTTTAAGATCTACCAGAGCTTTCAATAAGCTTTTAATTTTACAGAACATTTTTATTTTACATCAGACTCTCTTTAACAGCATTCAATAAAAAATAGTGTGCATGAAAGTACCAAGACAACATCAACACATCAAAGTAGCAACATGGGGAAATTGAGATGGTGTCCATTTGTTTTCCACCATGTCCATCTGGTATCACAACTTAAAAGGTAATAAATTAGTGACTTCAGTCTTAAATATAGCTGTAAATATTCAGATGTGACAGCTTGTTCCATATTTCAATAGTCACTCACAGAGTTTATTCCTGTGTTGGTAAAATCTGAGAGGAACTATGACAACATTTCAGTGGATGGGGAGATTTCCTAAAATTTCTCAGAGGTCATTTTAAAAGAATAGTTCACTGCTAGGTAAGAAATGACTGAAAGATAACATGACGGTCACATTTCCATTTGTGCATGTTGCTTTTAGAATAACAAATTATAAAATTTTGAATTTAAATATAGGAAATTAACTGTCCTTCAAACTGTCTTTCAGTCACCTTAGGCCGTGTTAATAACAGAAGCAGACATTTTAGGAATCACCACCAAAAATCAGCTTTTTTTTTAAACCTTTAGACAGATTCACAGCTTGTGCTGCAAAAGATAACACACCAAATATATGTTGTACATGCTTTCAGCATGGCTGCATCATAAGTGTCCAAAATCACTCCCTAATTCACTACTCCCTAGATAATGTAAACTCAATCTCCATCTTTCAGCTGCAGAACAGTGAGCACTAAATTTATATTTCAGAAATGCACTAATCCTTTTTGCATCATCAATAACAGCTGTTAAACCACTGAACAGTAATTTATCAAAGCATTGTGGAACTGTTAGCAGAAGCTACTTTGTTCCTTGCAAAAAAGTTTGAGTGCACTATATCGTGAATAGATTCACACACTCAATTAAAATGGTGGACAGTAAATGCCGTGCACTATATAGTAAATAGGGAATGATTTCAGATTACCAGATTCCAAGCGCATAAACCTAAAATGTCTTCCAGCTTCCACACTGTGTGACTAGTGCACATGAGTATTAGTGTTACTACCTCTGGCCCCATAGACATTACACTGGGTTGACGTCACACAAATAAAAACAGCTTTTTCCTGTTACATGGTTTTAAAATTATTTATACAGAGTTTGACCTTGCTTGAATTTACCTTGGTTGCAGTTGGAGTTGTCCTGTCAACCATTTGATGGGTGTCTCTTTTATAGTGGTGGTCTATGGGGAAAAGGCTTTTTGGGCATTCTGGGGTTTTTCTGCCATACGAGTAGCCACAAGGGCAGGTTAGCAGAAAGGCTGAGTGGCAGCTCTCGTAATACAGCGATGGGTGTCACATGGCAATAGTAACGATGATTAAAGAGCCAAAACTCCAGAAAGTCCATTTTGGACACACACATAGTCCTGGTATTCGTTCATGTGTTATATCATATTTGCAAATGTTTCAAAAGAGTTAATACAACTGGCTGAGAACACAGGAACGTTTGGTGTCTTACCACATTAGTTTCACTCCATTCTTGTAGGCTTCATTGAAGATGTGCAGGCTGAGTTTCCACAACAAGGTTCTTTACAGTTGTATGTAAACAAAAATGATCTGCTGTAAACAAACTGTTTGCCACCCTGAAGCAATGCACTCACTACAACAATAAACAGCATTAGTCAGGTTTTCTCTGCCAGTCCAGGATCAGAGGGATTCCTCTTTACTATCAGCAGGTGTTTAACTCTCTCACCACCAAAGATTATCTTATAGCCACAGCTTATCTACCCACTGTGTCAACACTAAAGCTTTAGGGATATTTTTACTTCCATGTGATGGTCCAACTCAGAGCTACAGAGAAGTCACCAGCTGATATGGGGATAAAACAGGCGATAACTGGGTGAGAGATGAGACTGTTGGTTTTTAAATACCCCTCCACCCCGCTGCAGCAGTAGCATATCCTCTTTGATAAAGTCTTGCAGCCCTCAATTCTTTATGGCACAAAAGAAATAAACAAATCTAAGTATAAACTGTACTGATAGTTTTTTGTTTTTTCTCCTTTCTGTGATTTGGATACCAGATCCAGAGCGGAGTTAATGTGACACCCATCCAGCCAAAGGAAGGTGGCCATTGTTTCCCTTCCTGCTGCTCAGCATCAGTTGTTATGGCAACAGGAGTAGAAATATGGATCTTTCTTCTGGCCCAAGTTGACGCCCGTTTCCTCTGCTGGAACAGAGGAAGGCATTTTAGTATATGTTGGAAATCTTGTATTTAGCAGCTCTGGAATCAGATCCAGATGGTACATTTTCTAAAAGGTGAAAAAAAACCTGCTGAGGTTGTTCTTGATGCAAACAGCAGCAGTCGATTTACAGTAACAGAAAATGTTTGTGATGGAGATGTCTTGGCAAGGTTAATGTAAAAGGGTCAGTATGCTTGAAACAAAGTAGGTGTTCGATGACTGAACAGCAACTGAAAGCCTCACCAAACAGTTCTGCTGTCGGATGTCTGACAATTTTTTTTTTACCTTTTCAGTCTTTTCTACAGCTGAAAGCTCTTCACCCTGCCTTTGAGTGTATAAACACTTTTGTCTTTCAACATGCTGGGGCAAAATGGTGAATAAACTTTTTGGTTCAAGCATACTCTTGGCCTTTAGCAGATTACTGAGCTTTTTATTCATTAACACTCACCTGTCATGTATTGCAAGGCAGAGTTGTTGTAATCCTCAGCAACTTTCTGGAACAAGTCATCTGACAAGCAGAGGAAGAATGAAGCCTGTCAGTCTCCAACAGTTCATTCACACAAAAACTGTGCTGCATGTAAAACCTATTCAACAGCTTATTTCCAACAAATAGCCTGTTTGGTGAGGAAGCCCCCAAACTCTGCCATCATTACACTAGCTAAGCTTTCACAAGGATACATGTAAGACTGCTGTGTGCAACAGATGGGGACAAGTGTTGTTCTCATGTAGAATCTTTGACTAACTTTAGCCAACATTACAGCAGGTTACACAATGATTGTATGTTTCAGCAGGTTTTTTTTACTGTAAGAGGTGCAAACATTAGAACAATTATTCTGTTAGTTGATCAGAAAATTAATTAGCATCTTATTGATTTATTGTTAGTCTTTTGCTTTTCTTTTTTTTTTTTTAAGGAAAAATAGAAATCACAAAGTCAAGAATCACAAACTGCTACACTATTCACATCAGTTTACAAGGCTGTCATAACTCAAGATTTCCAATTAATCATCTACATTAATTTTATTCTAAAATAACTTTTTTGTGCACATTCTTTAAAAAAATTAATTTCTACACAACACACTTAGCAAATCATGCAGCTTTAAGTGAAGCACGTAGAAGTAACCACTGCATCCCCACAGCATTTAGACAGATGTGCATGTTTACTGAGAAAACCTTGAGAAATCACCCTCCTTTCTTCTGCTTCCTCTCTGTAGTCCTTTCCTGAAGAGGTCCTATATGTCTCAATTTGACCCATGTCTTACATTTTTATGTACTTCACAGAAATACTACAGAGGACCAACGGCTCCAGTATTGCCTACTTAATATTGTTGAAATGTTCACAATCTAAGAATGTTTGCTTATGTACTTCTGCTGAGAAGTGTTCTATGTACAGTACAGTATAACCTGTTAATGACACAAGATGGTACAGAAATATGACTAGGCCTCACCTAGAAAGGCTGGCACTGACTCAGGCACTTAACAGACATGACAGACATTGTCATCACATTTATGTAACAATATAAATGTCTGAATGTGGCCCAACCTTCTAACTGGACAAGCTTCAGTTGTCAGTGAGGGAATCACTGACTTTTGTCTTTCAGTTAGATTTTTTTTTCCTTGTGTTCAACTATTAAACAGTGATTTTCCTGAAGAACGAACTCTCATCTGCTATGCTGGCTCTCAGCATTATAGTTCTGAGGGAAACCCACTTGCTCAATTGACAAACTGTGAATAAATACAGCTGTATTTGACGCCAACCGCTGTGTTAAATGTTGTCTGCAGATGACTGAAGTTGTGACTCACCCACATTATTTCCCGTTTTACTGGAAGTCTCAAAATATTGCCCACCAATCTCTGTGAAATCAGACAAAATCATTTAGGTCAGATGTTAGTCAGGCTGAGACACAAAATTTGTGAAAGAGGACACAAGTTTTGTGTTGCAATTTCTTACTGATTACACACAGGTTGACAAAGGTCATAGATTTCATATAAAAAAATCCTTTAATAATGTTACATGCATGTTAATAACCTATTTCCATACTTCAGAAATCTCTATTACATAAATGGACAACCTGGTTTCTTTTTTTTCCAGGTTAAAAGAAGACATGTTAACTCAGCTTAATTTCTGCTGGAAAATACTCTTTATTTGGCCTTAAACTTAAAGGTGTGCCACATGCACACACGCATAAAAACACCAAGGAAACTAAAGTATCACACTAACTGTGGTATAGCAGGATGAAAGTAAGGTGCATACAAACGTATTGAAGAAAAGCTTACGTTGGTTAAAGGAATATAATTCACACTATAAATGCAGACAGCTTAATTAAGAATGCATGACAGCAACTTGACACGGCAGTGTACAGCAGTAACCATGTCAACCAAATACATGGGAGGCATTAAAATGAGCAGTAGAAAAGGCAGGTTTCTAACACTGAGACTACAGTTACCTTCAGCAAAGTCCTGAGCATCATGGTAGTCAATTTGGCGCAAGCTCCGATCTCCTTCAATCAGGTCGCTCTTAGTACCACACAGGTAGATCTTACATTGCTGGATTACACAGCCAAAAAAAGAAAAAAGTTACTTTGAGTGACACGTAGGTAGTATACAAGTTCAACAAGCAATGCTGACTTTTTACCTTTAATTTTTCAATTCAGCTGTATTACATGTTCCTAAGTATAGACTAGAAAAGCTCTTTTACCTCCTCACACTTTTGCAGCTCTTTCACCCAGAAACGAGCTCGCTGGAAGCTGCTGCTGTCGGTCAGATCTGAAATTCAATTAACTCAGTTAATCAGAATTGCCATACAATCCAACAATTCTCACCACTTCAATGCCATGTCCCGCATCGGGAACTGGATTGAAAACATTAGTGAAATAATATCTGCACAGAGGAGATGAACGTAAAAGATGGAAAAAAGCAGCAGACCCAAAAGAAGACACTAAATAAAACATGTCAGCAGTGTGAGTAATCCAGTGGGAAATACCATCAGCTATTTCCTAAAGTCAAAGTTCCTCAGTGTAGAACAAAGAAACATGTGGAAAAACCAGTTTAGAAAACTTGCACAGTCTTAAGATGGAAAAAACTTAACACCTGTGAACAAAATTATCATGTGATATTTACAGGTATTATTTCAAAGTTTTCTGATTTGTTTTGAGCAGATAGTCATCTGTACAAATATACTGAGAAACATTTTAGCACGATCAAGATTAAGAAGAAATTAGTGAATTCAAGGAGATTTAATTAAAAACTATGGCTCCTGTAAAGCAGTAAATTGCCCTGGAACTATATACGGTGTTGTGCTTTATTTATATTCCCCACACTCGGTTTACATTCTTTCACTGTGTTACTGAAAAGGGGCGGATAACTGAGCCATTCCTCAACCTGCTTCATCTTGTTTTCACTATCAACAGCGGTTGAGTTGTGACACCTGAAGGCTCACCACAAGAAGATTAGAAGCAGTGAAGATTTACCATAACAGACTATGGCTGCCCGGGCTCCTCTGTAGTAGATTCTGCTCATAGCTTCGTAGCGCTCCGATCCAGCGGTGTCCTGGATTAGGAAAGAGGCACAGAGGTAAGAAAGACTGAGATCCAAGTGGGATAAAAATGATATGGGAGAGAAGACCCTGCTTCCTCTTAAGCCTCTCAAGTGTAGTCATGTGTGTAATGATGAGTGTCAGTGCCTTTGTAAACTCAGATCTGATGTTACAATGGTACACAGTAAACATTCCAACAACCGCTATGCGGGTTTTAGATGCTGGGTAATCTCCACTGTGAAAAGCTCAGCAGCTCCAAGCCCATTTCCGCTCATTGCTACAGTTTAAAGTTGTGGAATCACCCACAACCGTGATTCAAATAATTCTGAATTGCTTAGTTTCTAACACATTTTTTCTTCTTCCTAAGTCTAGGTCAAGATAAAGAGCAGGTATGTAAGTAAGAAAGAAAATCAGATTCAGTGCTATATATGATAAGAGTCAAACCAGCCCCACAGCACTGCGACAGCAGCTGGCCTTAACAGATACCTTTTTCTCCAAACCACATTGTCTCTGGATAATTCATTTAAGTTCTATTCACGTTTGTTTAAAGAGTTCTCAGTTTATGTGAATGGATAGAGATAATTAGTATGTACAGTAGTGGTACTGTTGTGCACATGTAACTATACACTAATATGACTAGTGCTTGTGAATGTAACCTTTAAATCGACTCATTTGAACAAGTTTTTGCATTTAAAAATGTTTTCAATACATCCTAAATATTCTCTATAATTACTTATGTATGTTCTACTGTAAAATACATTTGGGATGCTTCTTAGTTCCAAGTAGTACACCGGATACTGCTACACTGTACTGCTGTATACTAAAGGCAGACTCTGTTTATAGGTGTTGGGGAGCACCACTACATGCAGTATAAGAAAAAATCTGTATACAACTCACCAGCTTTGATCAAGAAAGTGTGGAATAAAAACAGACATTGTCTCTGGAAATGCTGCATCAATATGATTGCTGTTTTTATAACCATCCACCCCAAGTCTTACAGTGTTTTATAACGATGCTAATCCACCAGAGTGCTCATTTCATTTTAAGGGAACTGTACAGTTTTCTCCAGTTTTCGGGTCACTGAAGTAATTCATGAAGCAGTCTCTAACTCACCCATATTCCCAGAGTAATCACTTTGTCTTCCACCTGGATCGCTTTGGCAACAAAAGCAGCACCAATAGTCTGTCAGGAAGAGAAAACAAGTGCAGCATTAGACTCTCATGGATGCAAATGTTGAGCCCCAGCAGACTGTGGGCACTCTCAGACACAGTTTTCACAGACCACAGCTTAAATGGGCACTAATGGGAAGTGGGATGCAGTAGGTTTAGACTAACACTGCCAGTGTGCATATTATTCCTTTATGTGCTCACCATGGTGTCCTATTGTAACATGGAGCTTCTGCTCAAATACTACAAATTAAGTTGTTTTCATTTCTATTTTTATTGCAGCTGGCTATGAATCATGACATATTACACAGAACTGCTAAAAGAAGGCAAGCGCATTTATTATAATCGTGCTATCATGTAGTTTTGTTAGCTGAAGTCAATTTAAAAAAATAGAAAATATAACCTTCTATCCTTCCACAAAAATGAGCAAAATTCCTGCACAGCCATCCTCTAGTTATATTAACCATAGTGAAGATGGTTCAAGCTAAGAGGTTATATTAGATTGCATTTTTAAAAGTGGATTAGCAACCTTACAATGACGACATGACTCCAGGAAGTTGCTGCACCTCACCAATAAACAGTTACAGCATCAAACCCCCGTAACATCACAACTTGCCATTCTGGTTCTGATCTAGACCACAAGTGGTAGAAGTAGTATTCTGGTCCTTTACTTAATTTAAATAAAATAATCCATAAATGCTCCTTTACCAGGAAAATCCCTGTAGTAAAAATCATACTTGAGTAAAAGTTCAAGAGTATCATCAAATAAATGCAGTTAAAGTATCAAAAATTAAATGTCAGATTTTTATAAAAATGCTTCTGTCATGATGGACCTGCTGAAACATTACTGCATCCACAGTTTCTATCACAGCCTTTAAGCAATAAGATGATCACAAACTTGAACCTTTATTACCACAACATCCCAGGGTCTAAATATAAAAATGATCCTTTTCATCCAGGCAGCAGGCCAGGAGGTAACAGCCTATGGGCTGAGCTGACACTCACGTTCTGGTATGGGCCAACAAGAAAGCGATGATGAACATATCTCTCCACCAGGCTCGTCTTCCCCACACTCTCCTTTCCTAGCATCACCACTTTGGTGTCCACGCGCATGGCACTCATAATAACGGGGTTTGGAAAAGCCAAAGACAGGACCACAGCACAGCAGTCAGGAGGTGGGAGTTAACGTACGAGGCAGCTGCTGGGCTGTTCAGTGTGCTGTGATGAAATGAGATGACACACCAGATAAGTGACAGTAATAATAAAGCAATAAACAATTTGCATTTATTAGGAAATGTGTTTTTTGAGAATAATTGTAAAACCTAACTCCATAATAACTGGGAGTGTTATAATAAGATTTCACACTTCTAACATGAAATGTTCTGAAGTGACACCAAACTGTAAAATCTTAAAAGATCACAACTTGGTCTCCTTCCAAACTGTGCATCAGGACTGATATTAAAGATTATTCTTATGCACTGATCATGTATTATTTACTGACTGTTTATAAAGTAAATGTCAAAATAATGGTATATGCTACAGATCTGCAACTCATATTTATTTTCATTATCACGCAACCTGTTAATTATTTCCTTGACTAATCATTTAGTCTATAAATTTGTTATAACAGTAACAGTCCAAAGTAGTGTCTTTATATTTGTTTTGCTCAAATAAGAGTCCAAAATCTGAAAAACATTCCATTTACAATTTCATAAAATTGAGAAAACAAGAAAATCTTTACAATCCAGAAGCTGATTTTATTTATTTTTTATTAACTTTGCTTGAAAATTACTTAAACTGGTCGACTATAAAAGCCAGATTAACTTAGTGCTGCAGCTCTATATGCCTACTATAGGTTAGTAAAATACCACTTGCTAATTTCATTGACTGAGTTAGTCATGTCAGCACTACCTTTCAATTACTTTTCCAGACTCTTCATACTTTTTATCAGTGTCTTGCTAGAAAAAAAAATCTATATTACTTGTACCTGATCTAAAAACACCCATCAATCTTAATGAAAAAAAAATCTATATTACTTGTACCTAAAAACACCCATCAATCTTAACCAATCTTCGCTAAGTCTGTCAACGACAATGATATGATAGGCTCTGGTTTGTAAGACACAGCACTGACAATGTATGAATGTTTCTTGAATATGATCAAACTCTGTTAATTACAAAGAAAAGGTCTCTGAGCAAAACTAGAAACTGTAACCGAAACCTCCTCAGTGGCTCTAGTGACAAAACTATTTGCTTTTGTCACAATAAGCTTCCAAAGTGAACCATTAGGCTTGCTGGGTTTTTTTTTTTTTTCATAAAAATGCTTTATATCATATATCTTAAAAACTATACCCAATCAGGTCTTTGAAAGATCATATTTTAATTCAGCATCTCACATTCCAAAATATCAGCGTATTATAATTAGAAAGCGTTTTTAAAGATTGTAGACTAGTGTGATCAGGGTTTGAGAGCTAGCAAAGCTAACTCCGGCGCAACACAGAGACACTGAACTCTCACCTGGTAGCTAGCTTGACTCAACAAATCTCTCAACATCTGATCCTCTCCAAGCAGCAGCCAAACCCGGGTTGGTCATCCGTGTCTACCAATCCTGTTGTAAAGTAAAGAGCATCACAACCCAGTCGCTTGTCATTTCTGCCCAGCCTTGCTAAACCGGCTGCTGTTTGGAAACTGAAAGTCGCAGCTAAGCTAGCTCGGTTACTGTTGTTGCGCAATGACTGCAGTTACAATCAAGTGGTCAGCTAATACGGTTACGTTACGGAAACAGACCGGCAAAGGCTGCCGTCGTTTCTATACAAAACTATACAAAAAAACCAGGTGGCCGACGGCTGGAGGCAGAGCTGTTTAACCTTTCTGAGAGGGAATATATCCAGCTGAGCTTTGTTTGTTTGTGTGGGAACCAAAGAGGCGATGGAGGCGGTTTCCAGGGGAAGGAAGTGGCCAAATTGCATGAAACAATCACCGGGAACCTAGATTTATTTGTTGGTTTTCTCAAATGGACTACGTTTATGCAGGCTGTTTTTATAAACGTGTAATGCACAAGTCGCCGAAAAGTACAGTCACAGTGAACAAAATTAAAATACGTAAAGAAATGACCATGAGGTAAAAACATTATTAATTACTAATAGCATATATAATAAAGAAAAGGGCTTTGGGATTTTTCTAGCCACCGTGGATTCAGATATTTTACATACAGTTTGAGCTCATTTTTCCATCTGTCCATTTGGGGCTTCAAGTATTTACATTTATTAATACATATTTTTCCTCAAAAAAATTATAATTACTAGAAAATCTTAGTTTTCTTTTTTCATACGTACAGCAGCTTTAATAGACATCACATTTGAGGTGGTGCAACAGTATATTCTTTGACTGAAGCCAGCTCTGGAATGAGAACATAAACATCTTTCACATAATCACAGTGGGAAAAGGGATGTCCCACAGTCTCAATATCCCTTTCATAGAATCCGCTGGAGTTATTATCTATTTTGCAAGAAGTGATTAGATGCCTAGATGTTGTTCAACAATTTTAACATCACTTCGTTGGCTTTAGGGTAGAACTGGATAAGGAAACTATTGTTTCCTTATTTTATTTGCCTCTTGTGTGTATTCAAGAAGACTATTTTATTTTCAGTTGGTTGGGGTAGCATTGTGTTGACAGTAGGCTATATTTCTAATATACTTGTTAGTGGATTGCTTGCTTTTCAAGTTGACATCTTTAATACAAAGTGCTCTCATGACTGATACAATATATAGAGTGCACCAAAATCTGTTGAATCATTGTTTAGAAGTGACCTGAAATGGCCTTTATTAATCTGTTGTATTCTCAGGATGCACATTTGAGATTGAATTTATTACTGAATTCTCTATAATTTATAAAGTTTCCAAAGTCAACCATCAAATGATGATCAAATGATACAGCCCATGTCCCCATTTCCATCCAAGTCTCTAAAATCTTTTTGCCCATCAGTCTGCATTCAAGTACAGACCTTGACAAAGGCTTCGTGCTGAAACACACCGGTCTTCTTATTAAACCTGCTCAAAACACTACAAGAGTGCTGGACCTTTTGTTTTCCTGTCCAATAATAAGTAGGCCAAAAGTGGGCTACTTATTATGCAATGGCACAGTTCACCTTAATGTCATAGTATTGGATTATAACTATTGATGCATTATTGTGTTCATCACATTCAGTGTTACAACTGGTGAAGGTGGAGCTAAGGTTAACTACCTTCTATGCTTATAATACTAACTACTGCTGGGTAGCTTGTGAATGTGTCACTGAGGTTCAATAAAGTGTTTATTGCAGGCTATTTTGTTTTATTAATCGGATTCTGAAAAATTACAAACCAAAGGTATCAAATAAATGTAGTAGTGTAAAAAGTACATTTGCCTCTAAATGTAGTGAAATTTACGTATGAAGTAGAAGAAAATGAAAAAAGTTATGTAAAGTACAGATAACTCACAACTGTAGGAGGAGACCATTCACCGTTTCCTGTGGCTGCAGCAGGGATTGGTTCGGGATTCATGAAGTCTAGCAGCTCCAGTGGAGACACGCACGGAGAGAGAGACGTAAACATGGCTGAGTCCGAGGGAAGTGAGACAACGTATGGTGGAATATTTCAGGAGATATTCACCTCCCCGCTTAATCTGACCCTGTTAAGCCTCTGTTTGTTCCTCCTATATAAAATCTTCCGCGGGAACAAAGGACCAGATCTCAGCGAGGTGGAAGAGCTGCTGCCCAAACTGAAAAAGAGAGATTTTACACTAGAAGAGTTGAAGCCCTACGATGGAGTTCAGAATCCAAGGATCCTCATGGCTATCAACGGAAAAGTGTTCGATGTGACCAGAGGAAAGAAGTTTTACGGGCCAGGTAAGGTCACCTGAGTTGCCCACGATGAGGTCCTGCATGGATGCGCTGATTAAAGTGTTATGAAATATAGTTTCTCGCCCTTCTCACGTTACGAACGTAACGTAACCAGCGACTGCTAGCTTGAAGCATAGCGTGGCCGTTGGTTTGTGTGAAATTGTAGGACTGACAGGACATTAATGTCAAATTTACCAAGTATAAGTGGTTGTTTGGTAATGCTATATGTTTAAGTTGACTTTTGTAACTGGAAGCTAGCGCCACACCCCCTGTACTTTGCTAGTTGGGATCTCTTTGGCTGCTGTAGCCTTGAAACCAGAGATCGTCTATGAAGAGTTGAGTTACTTCATGTGAGCTTGGCCACCGCTGCCATGTTTTCAGAAGTGCAGCTGGATACATATTGTGGCGACCCTGACCGGCCGCTGATGTTCAATCTAATCTATAGTCTGTTACTATATTGTACACAGAAAAACAATATAAACGGGACTGTCACGGTTACTTTAACGATCCTGTAGGTTTATATTTCCGTGTATTAATTATTTCAACCTCTTTTCTGAGATATATTTTGGCCTGGGGACTGTTTCTGAAAAGAAGCAGAGGTGGACGTCGCTGTTTTTATCCTGTCTCCGATTGTAACCTCTGACCAACAGCATAGTTACCTCACATGTGAACCTTTCCAGTGCACTGCTTGGTTGGATGTATTTCAGGAATTTAGCTCATTTATAATGTCCACAAGCAGCAAGTTCAATGTCTTGCTCAATGACACTGATAGCACTCAGGGCTGCTACAGATGGTTAAACTTGTAACATTTGGGAGGGTTTGAAAATTTGGGATTTGAATGGCAAAAACTGAGTTTTGATACAAATTTAAAAACTACATTTATAAGCTATCCCAAAAGTTAAATGTTATCTATTATATGTTTTTTTAAATTTTGTTCAAAGTGAAATTGTTATATTACTCTAGTTATTTATAAAACATGCAAAAACAACTCCCAAGATAGAAAACAGTTGTAAATTGGGAAATAGTTAAACAAAAATTATTGTAGGTTAGCAGGGGGAAAAAGGTAAAACAGTGATATTTTATGTTTTTCTTATTGTCGTCAAAGACCGTGAAATACCACAGACTGGCACTCAGTCTGTTCAAGATCAAAGATAAAAGATTTTTATTGTCAATTCACTCTTTGTGCAGGACATACAGAAAATCAAAATACTTTTTCTCTCTCACCTAGTATTGAATGCCATACCATTTAGGAAACTAAAATAGAATAAAAGTAGAGTAAAAATAGACTAAAAAGAACAAGACAACTAAGTCAAAGTGATTAGGATAAAACTAAATGGTACAACCTAATAGGCTGATGGCTCTGTGGGTGAGGCGGGTGTTAAAAATGTCCATGAGGGAAGGTAGAGGGGCACCAATGATCTTGCTGACTGTATTCACTATGCGTTGCAGCGTCCTTCTGCAGGAGGCAGTACAGCCTTTGTACCACACAGTGATGCAACCAGTGATGATGCTCTCAGTGGCGCCTCGATAGAAGCAGCAAATGATGGGGGGTGGGGCACTGGCTCTCCTCAGTTTGTGGAGGAAGTAGAGGCATGTTTGAGCTTTCTTGGCCAGTGATGTGGTGTTGTTGGTCCAGGAGGAGGTCCTCAGAGATGTGCACCCCCAGGAACTTGGTGCTGCTCACTCTCACCATTCCTACTAAAGATGTTGATGTTTAATTTTTGGTCACAAATATACATTTACATTTTTTTTACAAAAGGGGGCTCTGTAATTTTCTGGGCAAACATTGCTCAGACACTCGTATAACGTACGTTTGTTAGGCACCTTTTCAGTGGCAGTTAATACATTTGATGGTCTACTGTTTATGGCATTGAGTAATCAATTATTCAGTTGTTTGTAGCTCTTGTGCGCCTGCTGCCATTGTTGCTGTTGCCACTGTAGTGCATTCACCTTGCTCCCTTTGTTTTCTCTGATCTGCAGAGGGGCCATATGGAGTGTTTGGAGGCAGGGATGCATCCAGAGGTCTGGCTACCTTCTGCCTGGATAAGGAGGCCCTGAAAGATGAACACGACGACCTGTCCGACCTGAACTCCATGCAGAGGGAGAGCCTCTCTGAGTGGGAGACTCAGTTCACCTGTGAGTAGAGATGTGACTGTAGCAGAGTTTCACATGACAATAATTGTGGCCCCAAAAAAAATATCATGGTAAACGGTAGGTCTGGATATTGATGCTAATCTCTCACTTGAGTTTGATTTCTGTTTGATTTAATTTTGATTCAGTTTGATTCCTGGTGATTAATTTACTTCAGATGTTGCATTGCCCACTGTCCCAGAACAGTGGGCAATGCAGTTTCCTTGAGAAGGACACATTTCAACACAGCAAACCAAAGAGCTCAGATCAGTGTGCACAGTCTTGTTTTCGTCTGTCCCTCTTGTCAAAGTGTTCTCTAGGTCCGCTATAAATTTGCTATAGTCAGCTAACATCCTGAGTCACAGCAGTCCATAAAGTGTCATTGTTGGACACATCCAGTCCTGTTTTTGTCCATGTTCTGAATTCTTTTTAGTGTTTAATTTTAATGAGAAAAGTGTTTATAATAAACAGTGGACAGATGTACAAAGGATCAATTAGTTTGAGCTCTCTGCTTTTTGACATTTTGTAGACTGAAGGCATTGACCTAATGTAATATGAATACATTCCAGAGAACTACAAAACACAAAGACAATATCTTGTCTGTTTCCACTGAATGTAGGATCCTTCTGTGTCCTTGGACATTTGTATGAGAAGACATGTTTTTTAAAAGTGTAATGCATTTGTTTATTTTCTACCATTACAGTTAAGTATGACTACGTGGGCAAGCTTCTGAAACCAGGAGAGGAGCACACAGAGTACACAGATGACGAGGAAGGAAAAGACAAAAAGGAAAACTAGAGCATGAAACATGACCAAGAGGAGGAAAATGATAGATGCCTTAATGTTTGTTTGTAATTTGATGATGTTGCTTCCTGTTGGGGCCATTCAGTGAAAACACCTCTGTTTTCTGCATGCATTCTAGTATTCTTGGATCATCACAATCCTGAAGTTGACTTAAATCCACACGGTATATAAAGGTTTGATGGCATTACCACATTCTGATGTAGAGCTGTGTAGTGTTGGTTGAGTTTAGATGATTTACTGTAAACTTACAAATGGGTCATTAGATTGTTGTGTAGAATCGAGAGCCAGTTCCCACACTTTACAGATCTGCTGATGGTGTCCTATAGGTTGAGGCTACTCGGTCATTTAAAGAAGGAGATCAGCTTTGTCCAGCTCACCTCAGTAACAGCCTGCCAAATCGGTTCGATAATCCAGGTTGCACACTTTGTTCAAATTGCTTCTGTTTTACTGTACACATTTCTTTCATCCATAGTTTGACTCTGATTGCTTTAAAATTAATTATCTCAGGAAGTAGTTTCATTCCAAATTAAAGCTACAGTATGTAACTGCTTTATAATATTTTTAGTAGATTTATCTTAAATTGGAGACGTGAAGTCAAACACTTCTGTCACGCAGACTGCTGGAACAGCCTGGCAGCAGTGCAGAAACCATTCCCTCGTTTTGAGCAAGACCTGCCTTTCCAACCAATCAGAGAAAGCCAGAATCGGGTGAGAGTCAGTACATGAACTTGCTTCTGACAAAACAAGTAAATTCCATAGATTTGGTGAAAGAAACTAAAAAATCTGTAGCCCTCATTCATGTTTAGTGGGGGTTTTATTGTTAGCAGTTGTGGTTCATTACATTGTGCAGAGAAAATGTGCCAGAAAGTTCAAAGTACAGAGAACTATTTGTCCCAACCTTTTGGCACACAGCCACATTTGCAGTGTTTGTCATGAACAAATCGACAGGAAAGTAATGATTAAACCCCAGTTCTGCCTGAATTTGAAGGCATTTTTTTCCAAACTCAGCTAGAGAATGGAAGAAGTTATTGTTTCTAACCGCTGTTTAATAGTTAAAACTTCGACTGCCAATCGCCACACATTGCAGCACTATTTTACAGTTCAGATTAGAGTTTAGGCTAAAGAAAAAAAATTGTCTTCTGTAATTCCTGCAGATATTTTGTTTGCAAGGAAACCTTTTACTGTTGCTCACCTATATTCCTGAATCTATGTAGAAGATAATGCTTTTCTGATTGTAAAAAATATTCTGTATTAAATAATGCAATATTTTTCTTTGCCACCAGCATCCTTGTAAAAACTTGCAAGATTGGCCACTTTCTATTCAGTGAGGGAACATTTTCAGTATGCATGTACATACATTAACTAAATGTCATAAGATATATCATACTGTTAACATCTTGAATGACATTTTGATTAAATTTTAAAGTGTGAAATTGAGGCTTGTCAGGCTGTTTATAGTGTCAGTATCTTTAGAAGAATTTAATTGACTATTTTGGAACATTTTAAAGTGAAATTAAATGACTTGTTGATTCAAATAAAGATTTATTGAACAACACTATATTCCAATATAACGTGCAGTGAATTTACCAACAAATAAACTGAATCTAACTTTTCTTCAATTTAACTGATGCTTGATGAAATAACATGCTGTAGTTTACTTAAATATTCTATGTACTGTGAACTATAACAAACTGGCCTGTGTATGAAGAAGAATAAGTATAATAATACTTGCATTGTGTGTGTTGGATTTGTCACAGTTAAAGCATGAATTTTAAAATGTGCTTTAAGAGGCATCTACCACTGATTTAAAAAACATTAAAGACCAAATTGATATTAATTCACTACACATGTGCTAATAATTTTTGTTTGCTCTCACAATAAAACCTTTTGCTATATGGATGTCCGTTTGGTTGTGTTTCTGTAACATTGAATATTAAATGTAATTTACAGTATTTACAGTGAAATAATTAGAATGTTTGTCACATTATTACAGCATACCCTGTGCTAAATCCAATATATAAATTGTAATTGCACAGGTTTAGAAAAGTGTTAAAATCCCTAATTACTGCCTTTGTAGACACCTCAAGGTACAACTCAAGGTTATTTGTGACAACAATGAAAAAGGTATGTGTCAGAAGTGGGATTCGAACCCACGCCTCCATTCGGAGACCAGAAGTCCCGTTCGTACGGAAGGTTTAATCCTTGAGTCTGGCGCCTTAGACCACTCGGCCATCCTGACACGGTATACATACAGCTTTTCGTTGACCCATTTATAGGTATCACGTTAAGGGTATATTAATTTGTATTGTTGTTTGATTTGAATAACAAATAACTACTCTTCCATTGTGCGTCTCTTTCAAATGATAGTTAGGATTTTCACCACCCTTTACGCACTTTCCACTGTTAATTCTTTTCCACGCATGCTCATATCGGCAAACGCAATTTCCGCTGTCTACGTGCAGCAGCCATATTACACTTCCGTACTTCAAGGGTATCTGAAGTCATCAAGCTAAAGTTAAACAATATGTACAGGTTTGCTAGAGCTGTAGCGAACGTTACCGGTAAGGAAACGGTTTTTGCATAAAAATGTATGTTGTTTTGTATGTATTTGGGCCAGGCGGCAGTTTAATATCAATCTACAGGTTTGACCTACCTCTCATTTGGTTGGTGACCGAGCGTGCTAATAGCCTACTGTTAGCTATCTAACATTAGCATCTGCCAAACGAGTCATGATATTTCTTAGAAACATATATTTGTGTAATTTAGTGTCTTAAATTCTCTTCTGTAAAGTAAACTATTTATTGCATTTGAAGATGCCTTTTTAATGTTTTTTTAAATCGAGGTGTCATTGTCCAACACACCGACCCATATTATAATTGAGGATAATTAAGCTAACATTGCCTCATTTGTAATAGTTATTTCCTTTTGTAGTTTTAAAACATGCATTAGCGGTAGTTTGGCAGTGATGAAGGGAGGACAAAGAAGGACGTTCTTCTCTTCTAGCTAAATATTTCAGAAACCATTTTGAGTACAGTTGCACTCAGTAATAAGCTAAGTATTTCCTCGTAGTGTTTTCAAACTGCGTAATTCTGTCGCCATTGGTAATGGCAGTATAATATGAACTGTAAAATTATAGTTCATTGAAAATGTTAAGAAAATCTGTGATTTAGGGGTGCAATCTTATAACCCAACATACTGCGTCTGATATAGCTGATTTTATTTCAGTCCTTCTCGTTTTCCACCTTGCTCATCATTTTGGTTTGTGTCATTGTTCTCATTTACCATACCTGCCATTTTTATGATTATTTTCATAGTTTAATACAAATCTTATGTATATGGTCCTTATAAAGACAACTTAAAATGCAATAAACTGTGATGCCATAAAAAAGAAGAATTGGTAATAGTGCAGTACATAAACAACAGTCATCACTCATGAAGCCTCTAACTTGTTATCTTCCAGGTAAGGCTGTGCAGCAGGTGAGGCATGGATCCACCGTCCCCCAGGACTTCCACTCCAAGTACGGTAACACTGTGCTGATCGGTGGGGCTGTCTTCTGCACAGCTGTGTGGGCATATGTAAGTAGTGCTGTCCTTTTGGGCATAGTCACATTTGTTTACAAGTATGAACAGATACTGTAGTTTGGTCATAAAGTGGTATGTAGATTAACACCAGGTAAAAAAAAAAAGGTGTTAAAAAATACTACACATTCCCCAGGGTGAAGATGTTGATCTGTGTTTTATCAGTATACAGTTGATTGTACATGATGAGAACCCAGTTACCGTTGAATCGCTGAGGACATGAAACACATGCTTGATCAGATACAGCGTCCCCTACCAGTGACTCTACCCCAGTTGCCTTTGGCCTCAGTACTGTCAAATTGCAGTCAAAGTACACAAGTATAAAAAAAAAAAAAAAACATGAGCAATGCCTTGTCAGATTCTATAATGTACTGAGGACCGTATGAGTGAAGCAATATTGTTAATGATTTTAAAGTTTAGCTAAAAGTTCACATTTGGAATCAAAAACCTTGTAAACGTATTATTGGTTACCCTGCAGTAATTTGTCTCTTTATGGTGGAAACATACGGAAATAAAATAATGGACACATAAGGCACAAACACTTAATATACACTTCGCCTACTGTATCTAGTGACAACCACACCCCAGAAGGAAAAAAAAACCTCTTTCTCATATTATAATCAGTTGTTCCAGATAGGCTAATATCATTATCTAATATCCAGGAGTTATTTTCCTTTTTTCCTAGTTTCAGCACCTTTTACTATAAATGAAAATAGTGAAGAAAAAAAACTTTGTCGTTTCAAAAAAGATGTCTATTTTTCTGTTTCTGCAAAAGGCCTCCATTGCCAAGCTATTGACAGCTAAGAGACCCATTGTCCCCCAGCAAACATCGAAAGGTTTAAAGTGTTAACTCTTTTTTTTTTTCTCGGACTGTATGCAGGTAGTGACTTCAACTGGCATCGTCTGGAATATGTCACCAGTAGGGAGGGTCATGCCCAAAGAGTGGAGAGAGCCTGAAGAGTGAAGAGCTGTCATGAAAGACCTGCATCCCTACTAATAAACTCTCTGGTTTTACAGATAAACCATATCTGCAAGTTCTGACCATGAATGCCTGCGTTTATTCCTACATGTTACTTTGTTCAAATAAAATGTGATTCTACTAACCTTTATTTCTTTTTTTAACTGTGTGAATTCTGTATGCAGTAGCAGTATGTTAGACACTCTGAGATGCAGACTGATATAATCTTTATGAACAGTGGCTCAAATCAAAGCCTGTGGTATGAATCTTTAAAGATTACTAAATGAGCATGGAAAAGGTGGCACCCTGTATATATACATGGGTGTGTGGTTCTGAAACCTAAAGAGAAAATATTATTGGGCAGTACATGCAGTAACCATCTTAACATATCAACTGGCATTTAAATTGGGAATTGCACAGGAATTGGTATATTAGCTGTCCTAAATCACTGGCAATATGCAGTCCCTAAATTGATTTGTGATCAACGGTGCCTTCTGCTGGCGAAATAGTATAAATTAAAACGAAAATGCAAGCACATGCAGGAAGTGGAAAGGAGTAGTGCCTATTTAGTGATTTATGACAATGAACGTTTGTATAGTTTTACACATCTCTGCAACTTTTATATAAGTCATTAAAAGTAGGTGGCGTTTTAATATATTTGGCTTTGTGTCCCTAATATTATGCCATTGTATTAATCTGCTTTCTCTCTCTTAATCAGTTAATTGCATCTATGTTCGCTTAATTAAAGCATTACAACATTTGTTTCCAAAATAGTTGGGAGTGACTTTAAAAAAAATATGCTCAGTGGCTTCAATATACTTTCTGCAAACGGGACAGATATTACTTACAGACTTGGATATTATTCTAAGCAATTCAGCTCGCCATAAGAATATATTCCAGTTTACACATTTTTTTGGTAATGCTGTTATGAATCCACACTTTTATTCATAAGTAAGAATGGTTTGGTTTAATTTAAGTCAAGTTTAATCAAGAGAACGTGACGTTTACGTCGGAGAAAAGACAGCAACCAAATCCAATCAAATGCAAAGCAGGATTCACGCAGTAACCAATCACCTGTGGGGAAGTATGCTTGGCCCCGCCCTTCTGTTATACCTCCGCGCAGTGCTAAGATCGCCGCTGTCATTCGGTGTCTAACTAGCCTTCAGCCAGAGGAGGTGGAGGAGATCCAGCAAGGAAAGCGTAGGAAAAATTTAGCAAAGAAAGCATCATGTCTCTGTCTAACAAACTCACCCTGGACAAAGTGGACGTCAAGGGGAAGCGGGTCGTTATGAGGTGAGTGTTTATATCCAAGGTTATCTTGCGGACGAACCGAGGTAGGTAATCGGAAATGGCATTACCTAACGTTAGCTAGCTAACATTTTGTAGCCCGAAACATATCTTTTCTGTGCTGATAAACAGTTTGGTCTGGAGACGGTGTTCATGTAAAGATACAGATGTCATGGTTAACCGTTTGTGAGTATTCAGACCATTGGATAGAGGACAGGAAGTGATGGTTGTCACGTTTTCCATCTATTACGTGCTGGTGAATAGATGCTGCATGGATGAAACCCGCTGCATCACTACTGCATGCGTTTAGGTCACTCCCATAAAGTGGAGCAACATCACTGCAGTAATCCAGAGACGGATTTTGAAACTTGTATATTTTTGTGACACACTGCACTGAAAATGCTTGATATAATTTCCTACGACTATGGCCGCATTGACCTGGTAGAGGTCAAAATTTTGTAGTATGACCCCATTCTATAATGCTACTCCAGTACTCTAGAGTTGAAATGATTAGTTGATTAATCAGTTAGTGAACCGACAGAAAATTGTCAATGACATTGGTGTGGGGGGAAAGGCAATATGAAAACACCAAGTCAGACTTCAATGATGGCCTTTTTAAAAACTAGACAAAAAATGAAATGGTTATTAAATAAAAATTGCTTTTATTCATTGAAAGGGGAATTGATTATTTTAACATTTGCTGACTGATTCAATCAATCAATGAATCAAATAAGGGCATCAACCTGATTCAGTGCAGACAACTGTTTTCTTTTTCTTCTTCTTTCGTCTTTCCTCTTCTTAGGTCAAAGGATGCTCTGCATGCACGGAACTTAAGCATTTTTAATAATAAAAATGCCTTCAAATCTATTTGAAATCCTGCCCTGCTATTTAATTTTAAAGTGTTGTATGCTACTTGCAGTACTTGCTGCTTCTACAGATTGTCAAGGCCAGTGGTGGTACAAGTGCACTTGAAACTGACACCCCTTGTGGAAATGTCAGAGGGCCATTTTGTTTCGCTTAGCAACAGGACAAGGTTCATCTGCAGTGGCAGTACCCAGTATTCACTGCTTAAATTCATGTGTAGTCAGTCTCAGTGTGGACTGATTGTGCACTGCACTGAGACAATCGGACAGCTAGTTACTTGATAACACACCCAGGGCATGCCATGTATGAGTTTTCTGAACTTCCAGCTATCGACAGAGTGCAAGGAAGACATTGTGGAGCTGGCGGTCTATAAGTAAAAAGAGGGAAGGTGGAACGTTGCTGTAGAGACTCGGCAGTGCCTGACACAAATCTGTTCAGCTGCCAAATTCAGAAACTGACTTCATGGAGAGGCATCCATTAAGACCACACTTTGTATAACCATTTACTATACAGGGTTTCTTCAGCACGTCTGTACAAACATTTCTTGGAGACAGAAATAATCTCATTGGATGAGTTTTTTTAATAGATGGAGCCCAAGAAAGACCCTTTTTTTTTGTCTAGACAAAGTTAGATTGAAGCCCAGAGAAAGACAAAGATAATGCTTTAAGCAAACAGAATTCGCACTTGCAGAATTCCAATGACACCTCCGCAGATTTTGAAAAGAAGGTAGAAGCTCAGAATGTAAGCACGTTTGCCCCACCTGTATGTGCATAACAGTTGTGTGATGTGAATGTTTTTGTCATTTTCCAAACCAAGCATACAACATTCAGATCTACTTCACACATTGACTGGCTAGTTGCACATCTCTGTCTAGCGCTTCTCTTTCCTTCCTTACAGCCTTCTCGCCTCAGTAGCCTTTGTGAACAACCCAGATTAATGTCTGTGAACAAAGATATTAATCGCTCGTGACAAGTGTCTGAAAACACCTGTCATTATCCCATCCTTTTTTTTTAATGCAGTGGTCGATCAGTAGCCTACATCTAAAGAAACTGAAGTTTGTATTTCAGTGGCCATGTGTATTTAAATTATCTGTTGGTGGAATTTCCAACAAATGTCAATATTTAGAGTGTATTGACATGTTGATGAAATATTTTTTTTTTTCTACTTGAGAATCATATGCAACAGCTCTCCAGGTAAAAAACAAAAATCAAGAGCATTCATTGTCCTTTGTAGTCTACATTTTAGTTGACCCTGAATAACTGCACTATAACTATTTTGGCTTAATTCCATCAAGGGTTACTCATCCAAAGAGTTCATTTCTGCTTCTGAAGGTCTGTTTGTTGTGCAAGTGATGTAATAAAACCTTCAGCAATTTACATGTCCAAACTAAAGAGGATCCAAAGGAACATTTAAAAAGTGTAGTAATGCTACTGCAGTTGTTGGATAAGAATGGGAGCTGCTGTGCCACAGCATTGCTGTACAGTGGATTACTGTTCTTACAGTGTGCAAACCGTGAGAGGTAGTTGCATAACTGACCAGAGGGATGCAGCATGTTCTCACAAGCCTCCAGAATGCACTGCTGCAGGGCTGGATGTGCTCGTTGGGCCTAAATGGAGCCAGCCATCCAAATCTGTCTTAAATGCAAGGCACTAATGCTGCCACTGTTAGTGGACAAAAGCCCCTCACCTAATGGAATTGTCTGATTGTGTTGGGACTGTAGTGACAAGTGTTTCTTCTATTTTGACCACATGTGAGTAAAGCTAGGTGTAGCCTACCTATTAAACTGTATCTGTACAGGTACCTAATAGTTTGTCATGTTAGTGTGACTTGTCAAATGGCTAAGCCTTACTCTACACTGGTGGCATCGATACGTTTATTCACAGCTGAAAAGAGAGAGTCACAAAATCTCTGTAATGCAATAAACATTTCATTAGACTTGATTCATTCTGGTAATTAGGTTTCTTCTCTTTCAGGGTTGACTTCAATGTTCCAATGAAGGACAAGCACATCACGAACAACCAGAGGTAAAGTCTATCTAATATCTGCAGCATCTTTTGTTCTCAAAAATTAACTTTAGTTCATAGCAAAAGCTGTTCTTTGTGCAGCATTTCTGTAAACTAGAGCAATGTAAAATTAAAAATAGATGCACATTGTTAGCAGAGCACCATCTCGTCAAAGGAACTGGCAGGAGGAAAAGTGGAAGGATTTTCTGACTGTTGCTCACTGATTTTTCAGGATTAAGGCGGCCCTTCCCAGCATCCAACACTGCTTGGACCACGGGGCCAAGTCGGTTGTGCTGATGAGTCATTTGGGCCGTCCTGATGGAAACTTCATGCCTGAGAAGTACTCCCTGGAGCCCGTTGCCGCTGAGCTCAAGACCCTGCTTGGAAAGTGAGTTGACAGAACAAATAACTGGTTTACTGCTCGTTTCCCTCCCCTAACACGTTAGATCTATTTCTTAAAGCAACTGATGAATTCATAACTGACTTGATGAAAGGAGGGTTGTAACTTTAAGAAACCAACTTGAGTTATATAAAAACTTAGTCCTTAACGAAAGTGCATGAAACAATTTATAAAATCGTAATCAGCTTTCCTGATATCACAGCATAATTATTTCATGAGCAGCATCACAAGAAGATAAAACTTGGTCTGTCAAAATTATGAAATGAGTTTCTAAGATGAATCCTCCTCACTGGTTCCTGGGGCTCTGCAGGGATGTCACTTTCCTGAAGGACTGTGTGGGTGCAAATGTGGAAGCTGCCTGCGCTGACCCCGCCACCGGATCGGTCATCCTGCTGGAGAACCTCCGCTTCCATGTGGCAGAGGAGGGAAAGGGAAAGGACCCCTCTGGAAACAAGGTGAGAGCCCCAACAGTCTGGCTGCCCACACTGAGGACAGTTACTCCTACATCAGTAAAGTATTGAAGTTGTGAAACTGCAGCTCTTCGGTGGTTTTTCAACCAGAGTTTTAATTTCACTGTTTGTCATCTGCTGGTTTATCGGTTATTACTTTATCCAGAGACAGAATGAAACTAAGAGTTGATTGCCATAAGGCGGTTGTTGTGCTCACTGTAGCCACACTGGGCATTGTTCTGTGCAGCTGGACAACTTGTTATTGAAGTGGCCAAGTAAAAATGGTTTTGTATATACAGTTAAAAGAATAGTAATGGCACTGTTTGTAGTTTTCTGCATAAATTGGCCATGGTCATGAAATGTGATCTGATCATCTCAGATAACAAACACTTTCTAAGCTGATAAAACACAAACATTCATGATCTTGCTTGTCTTTATTGATCACACCCATTACACATACAAAGTGTAATGGTGAAGATCTGATCACATTTTATGACCAATTTATATAGAAAACCAAGCAACTGATTAGATGAAGGATATACGAATTGTTTCCTCTTGAGTATGTAGATCATCAGCCATATTGTCACTGTGTCCAACCAAAACCTGCTATAATCCAAATGGCAGAAGCTCTGGTTGTCAGACAGCTGAAGACTGTCCAGCAGAGTTTCTCAGTGCTGGTTCACCTACTAGGAAATGCACAGTCATTCCAGCTGCACTGTCCCTCTGTAAAAGCTGCATCTAATGATGTCACAGTTAGGCGTAGTGCAGAGGTCTGTGTACAAAATCATGTCCCTTTTGCAGCCTACTGCAGTGCACTACATTACTTTTACATTTGCTTGTGTGTATAATGTGTGCACTGCATAAAGTAGTTTTCTCAAATATAACCAAATGTGTAGCATTCATACTGAACTATGTGTAAGAGTGCCGACCATGATCTCGTTCTTTAAGCTGAGGTGCAGATGGTCTCGTATAAAAGCAGACACAGGCTTAGGACTGTTCTCAGATACTGTATGAATGTTGGTGTCAGGGCCTGCAGTGGATCAGCAGCCTTGACCTGCTGACATTTATTCATAAGGTCAGTCGCTGTCCTGGCTGGACACTTTTCTTTTCCTGTCCTAATTGGCCTGGTTGGTATGCAGCCTGTGTGGGTTCGTTTCCTCTGTGCTGCTCTACTGTATCACACTGACAGTCATTTTACAAAAATATTTCTCTTTGACAGAGCTGCTCCAGGGACTAAAATAATGTCATTTCAGTCATAACGTAGCGAGTGGACCAGAAGAATTGCATCACAGTGTGTCCCCAGCTCTATATGAGAGACTGTAATGTTGTTTTGGCAGTAGGTGTGCCACAAACACAAGTATGGTATCCCTTTTTGTTTGAGGAGAACGTAAGAACACAGCAGTAACTTATTAGTTTTTAAGAGTACAGTCTGTCACATGGACTGAAGGGTAACTGTAGGAAGCTGTAACCTGAGTGTACTCATGTCTGACATTGGACGACACTGAGGAATTCTTTGACCTTCTTCAGCCCTCCAGTCTCACGGTCACAACCTTTTCCCATTTAAAGTGCAGCTGGAACCTGATCCAGAGTTCACTGAATTAACTAATTTATTTAACCTTTATTTAGTCAGGATAGGTTCAATTAGAGGGTTTTTTATAAATCTTGTCCCCAGTTACACATTGACACCTGGAAGCTTCCCAGTACAACCACAGTGTGACCTGATGGCCACTGAACACCTGAGCTGCTTCGTCTCTTACTCTTTCCTGTCTGTTTTGCCCCTTAGACCAAGGCCACCCAGGAGCAGATTGACTCCTTCAGGGCATCCCTGTCCAAACTGGGAGATGTATACATCAATGACGCCTTTGGCACAGCTCACAGAGCTCACAGGTGAACAGGCTGTGTTTTTGTCTGATTTTAACAGAAACTAGATTGTTCCAGACTTCTGACCTTATGGCAAATTGTATATAGAGCTTTAGTCATTTTCAGCTGGTTAATCCATCCTTTTCTTATCCAGGTAGTGTATTTATTAACTATATTATTAGGAATTCTGATACAAATGTCTGTAAATTTGTGCACGTGAATAAATTTACTTTGTGTGGTATTAATGTCTTAGTGTTGTACACTTAATTTGGTGAACCCTGTAGAAACTCTGGATATGATATTGTTCCTAATTTTTTTTTTTTAGTTTTGTTTTTATTGACTTCATGCTCCTCTCCATCTATTGACTGCTCCTTTTTCTCCTCCTCCTCTTCCGCTCTCCCAGCTCCATGGTGGGAGTGAATCTGCCTCAGAAGGCTTCTGGTTTCCTGATGAAGAAGGAGCTTGATTACTTTGCCATGGCTCTGGAGAAACCTCAGAGGCCCTTCCTGGCCATCCTCGGAGGGTGAGAGCACTTTTATTTCAAGAATTCATCAAGTCTGAACACATTAGCTGGGGATCAGACTGAAAATGGCCTGTGTTAAAACAACGTAAGGGTCAGATCCATGGATTTGAAGATTCATCAGATGCTAAACCAGTGCACAAAGATTTATAATACTTTGACAGAGGATTTTAAACTCTGAAAAATTGTCACAGCAGCATCTGTTTTCTCTTTTGTCACAACAGTTGCGGGGTAAACTGTATGAATGCACTATTTGCATTCAGCCAAAATTGCGCATCGTGTTCAGCCAGATGACATCGTTATGTGTTGCAGAGAGGTTGACCATGGTCTAAAATTCTTGCTGAATAGCACATGATCATGTTGGCTCCATTTAAATGAACACCTGACAATGTTTCAGTCTCAGAACTTTTTTTTTTTTTTAAACCACCTCCTCTGTGTTTTACACGGTGGACCAGCTGGTTGGATTTTGATTGAAAGCAAGAGGATGGTGCTGTTCACCCAGATCAAACCAGGTTAAAAACTTAAAACTAGCAATACCAGTTTTGGCGGCAGTCACTATTTGATTTTAACAAAATGTTACTATCAGCATTGTTCCCTCCCTCTCCTGCAGTTTAGGTGTCATCACACTGTATCCTATTTAAAATACCCAGGGCACCATCCAGGGATAGAGGTTGTAAGATCATTATGTTGACAATGGTGTCACATTACACTACTTTCTTCAAGCTGCGCCTGAGCGCTTGGTGTGCAGATAGGGAGCATGCAACGATGGGAGGTCCTACAATACATATTGTTAGCATGTTGAATCAAATGGTAAAGTCTTTATTTTTATTTATCAATTAATACTCCTGGCTTGCACAGTTATTTTAGGATTTTCTTTTTTCCAAGGTTGTTTCATTGATGGTCGATGAATGTGTCTGTTCTCAATAATGAGGAGGTCAGAGATCATAACCTCAGCAGACACTGAAAATGTTTAATACAATGAAAGCTGCCAGGTGAGCATTTTCAGCAGGTAACGAGTTAACTAAAAGCTCCTGAACGCAGCATGAGCTGGCAGAGCCCTAGTTCCTATTCTGTGCCTCCTATGTTGCAGGTGATGCGTTATTGTTTCCTGTGTTTAAGCTGTGGCACCACCATTGGATGAATAAATGGGAAACCTTGACTGAAGCAGCTGTAACACGCTCTGTGTAACTGAGCTGCTGTTGGCCACATGGGGGTTTGGACTTGTGTCAGAGTCCATCTAAGCCTGAGTGCATTGTGCAACTGTCCCTCCCACTTGTTGTCGTTCAGTACAGTCAGTCAACTTTTACCCTCCTCCAGTTAACAGAGGGCATCAACCAGATGCTGCAGTCAAACAAATAAATCATGCCTTTTACCAGATGATGTTGCATTGCAGCCCAAGCTGAGCCTTATTTTGCAGTGGTTCCTTGCCACCATCCTCTACATTTGCATCCCCACTGGGGAGTGGTTATTTCAGTGCTCTCACCTAAATAAATGTGGGGGCGCCCCTACCCAAATATACTGTATATCCATTATCTATACCTCCTTTTCCTGACTAGGGTCACGGGGGTGCTGGAGCCAATCCAAGCTGACATTGGCTGATAGGTGGGGTACAACCTGGACAGGTCACTAGTCTATCACACGGCTGAAAGACACACACCCAAACCCGCTAGGTCAATTTAGTCACCAGCCAACCTAAGCTGCATGTCTTTGGACTGTGGGAGGATGCTGGCACACCCGGGGAGAACCCACGCAGGCACAGGGAGAACATGCCAACTCCACACAGAAAGGCACTGGGCGGGCGGGGACTCGAACCCGGAACCTTCATGCTGCCCAAATATAGTTTTAATAAAATATTATCAGCTATATACGCCAGTTTAGTACTGAATGTGAATATCAGTCAAACCCTGGCTTTTTCTTTACTTTACTCCATCTCCTCCGTGTGTGCTCGTATCTGTAATGACGTGTTCTGCCTTCGTCTGTGTTTCAGAGCGAAGGTGAAAGATAAGATCCAGCTGATCAACAACATGTTGGATCAAGTCAATGAGATGATCATCGGCGGTGGCATGGCCTTCACCTTCCTTAAAGTACTCGACAACATGGAGGTGAGGAAGACAACCCAGAGAATATGTACAGAACATTTAACATTGGCATTAAAGATAGTCATGCATTGTCTATTTTTTAAATCTGATGATATTCTCAATTAAACATTGTTTTGCTGTGACGAACACCATATGGCTGGAAAAACAGCACAAGTGTTTTATGTCAGGTGTTTCACAAGTTCAGTGTTGAGCTGCTGGGCTCTCTGATATTTAAACAGACTTGTGAAACCGCTGTTTTGTTAGTTTCACAGCAGAGGCTGAGAATCACATTTATGACCCAACTTTCACCTCTGACAAAAACACTGGAAAAGACCAGCTGTTCTTTAAAGGGCCAGTTTGCTCAAATTACAGAAGAACATGTTTGCTCAATCCCCTCCTCTGAGATATAGCCATGCATGTAGTTTTGTTTTTATTTGCCTGGAATTTGAGGGGTTCTGTATTCACTTGCAGCGCTCAGTGTTGAAAAGTTACATTTAAGCAAATTAATGATTTTCTTTCTAGAAACAGTGTCCCTGTGGCTCTGGATCAGTGATTTTCAAACTGTGAAGCATGCATCTTCTGACATAATAGCTAGGCAGACCTGAACACAGACATGTCTATAAATCTGATCAGTAGAGAGGGAAAAAGATTCTCCTTGCAACATGAACTCCCAAGAATCAGTACACATCACATGTTTTCTTCAGTATCAAAGTGATGCAGTCATACTTGTCTGTACATTGTTAACAGGAACTACTAATTTGTAATTTGGCTTAAAAGAAACAGGGCTACAGTTTTAGCCTACACCTACCAAACTCAATGGAAGCTGCTTCCTGGACGTCTCCCAATGCATTATTGGAAATGTAGTTGAATAGAGCATGAGCTTAGCGCAGGATTAAATGATTTGTGATCATAGATTTTATTTATAGTAATTTTAATGCCTTTTTCCAGTGTTGTGAGCACCACAAACCAAATTCACTTCAATTCTGTTGTATCGGTTTGGAAGCAGGACATTGATATCTTGTCATGGACAAATAGACAAATCTATTTGCGTGGCCAGATGCCAATAAATATGTGAGAAAATGTATTGTTTGGGGTGAACTGACCCTTTAAACAAAAGCTGGTCATTTCATACATGTTTTCCAGTGGTCAGATTTATGTCAGGGACATGCTGTGACACTAACACAAAGCAGTTTCACAGGCCTGTTTGAACACCAGCATTCAGTAGCTCAGATTTGCGGAGTTGGCACAGAATTTTTCATATTTTGTCTGCTGTGACCTTGCTGTGCAACGTATGACAAAGCAGCTGTGCTGCTACGTGTTGTTTTCATCTCATCAGATTGGTAACTCCCTGTATGATGAGGAGGGGGCCGGCATTGTCAAAGACCTGATGGCCAAAGCTAAAAAAAACGGCGTCAAGATTACACTGCCCGTCGACTTCGTCACTGCTGACAAGTTTGATGAGAAAGCCACCACCGGCTCTGCAACCGTTGCTGATGGCATCCCCTCCGGCTGGATGGTGAGAAAAGATTGCTTCATCATCAACTTAAAACCCAAATCAAATGATGTCATTGTCTTTTCACCATTTTTTTGCTTCTGCTTTAATTCCCTCAAACATCTCCTGTCCTCTGCAGGGCTTGGACTGTGGACCAGAGAGCTCCAAGGCTTTTGCGGCGGCTGTGGCCAGAGCCAAGCAGATCGTCTGGAATGGTCCAGTCGGTGTGTTTGAGTGGGACAACTTTGCCAAAGGGACGAAGAACCTGATGGACAAAGTTGTCGAGGTGACCAAATCGGGCTGCATCACAATTATTGGTAAGAAAGACAAAAATGGTGGGAAGCTTTTGAATGCGTTTGTTTGTAGCTGTGTGAGTCTGTCAGCGTGCCGATCAGTCTGTGTTGGCCCAGAATACTGCTGGGGTGCTGACAAGGATGAATGGTTTTCTGGCAGGTCTACATGGCAATACCTGTGGTGACTGGTAAACTTTTTTTTTTTTCTCATTTCATTTCATTTCAGTTTAAAGTGACACATCGGGTGTCATCCTCACATTGCTTTAATAAAAAGTCAGTCAGTACTTGGCTTTTCTTCCATCATGCTGTCAGAAAACACTTTGTCATTTCATGCTGCACAGATGGTGCAGTAGTTTTCCACAAAGTAAAAGGAGTTCTTTACCTTTTATGAAGAGTTGTAGGTGTGTAGCATGTCTTCTTGAATCATTCCTCTCTGCAAAAATTAAAACTGATTTGTTGACGGAAAGCATGATAAATGAGTGCTGTTAAGTTTTCATGAATGAACACTGTCGTGGAAAACGTCGCATGGTGACAGTTTTATTTTCTCTGGCTGCTTCCCAATAGTTTAATGTTTTTATTATGACTCAATAGCAGTGGGAAATGTTGGGTTTGCATAAGCAGTAACTTGACACAGCTGTGTTGCAGCCATGTCGACACAGGACAGGAAGCAGTGAGGCTGATATCAATGAGATGAAACTGCAAAACAATAATATTGGATTACTTGTGCCACTTAATTTCCTGTGAAATGGCCTGGACTCTGATGGGAATGAACTGCTAAAAACAGGCAGTTACTCAGTGTAACTGTATAGACTTGATTGTCACATAAGGTCTGCTTAGGGTAAAGTAACATTGACCTTACATCAAATATGAACATCACAGACTGAGTGAATTCTGTTACATTATGTGAGTGTGAGCCATATTCTGTGACTGATTGTAGTGGGACATTAAGAAATCGGTTGAATGTAGATTTCCCACAACGTATGCATATTTAGCCCATTGTACATTTTCATGAGCAACATAATTCAAAACGTGTCTTGACACAGCTATTAAAATATAACCCAAGCTGATCGACCTTACTGTTGTGCAGTGCCTTGTATTAAAAGTTTTAAACATGTATGAATGATATGTTTTGTTTGTTTTTGTTGTTGTTTTTTCATCCAGGTGGGGGTGACACTGCCACCTGCTGTGCCAAGTGGAACACAGAAGACAAAGTCAGCCATGTTAGCACAGGAGGTGGTGCGAGCCTGGAGCTGTTGGAGGGTGAGCGACATACTAAAAACATGATACTCATTCACAGGATGATGAACGAATTTAAGAAAGAAAGAAAAAAACATGGTCTTTAAATAATTCCAGTGTTGTATTGAAGCCTAATAATGGTGGTGCTCATTGTGTTTGTCTTCAGGTAAAGTGCTGCCTGGTGTAGAGGCCCTCAGCAGTGTCTAAACTTCCTATGTGCCCACAGTGAGTGAGTGTATGAGAGGTGGGTAGCTGCTCAGCCAGACTCCTGTTTACTCCAGAAACCTTCCCACCCTGCAGAAAACCTGCTGGCTTTGTCATCCATTTTGTCTTGTCTTCATCCTTTGTTTTTTAAAGTAATGTCAGTTGTGATTAGGGAAGCATAATTTCCTGTTCCTCCAATGTACTGATACGTCTCTAACAAGTAGAGCTTTTTGCCTTACTTCAACATGTTGATGAAACTGTCCATGTCAAACTGCTGGAAATAGGAGTCATTACTTGACATTGATGTATAACTTTTTAGAAATACCTGTAACGCAAAGATCAAATGGCTTGTTAAGGTGGTAGTTTATTTTGTTCATAGGGTATATTTTCCTATTGACCTGCTGAATAGACGACTGAAATACAAACACTCTGTTACCATCACCAGAATCTGGGTTTAAACAGTGGGTGTTGGCACTCGGCCTCGCTTCTCTGCTCATTTTCTCATAGTCACTTCAGGATTACTGCTGTTTCTTAAAAAAAAGTCACCCCAGGAAAAACACTGGCTGTTTGTCTGTAAATGTGTGTATTGTGTCACTTTTGACCAACCACCCTGGGAACGTCACAGCACCACTGACGCTTATCTCTCTCTATATATACAGTATATTTAGAAACGGTTAATGTGGTGTGTGTACCTAGGCCTAACATTCTGTCTGTTCGCACCAACATGGGCTCTGGTAATGTGTCCTCTCTGGCTGTTGGTTTCTGAGCAGCACCAGACAGACGTGTCAGTCTCAACGGTTCCGAATAATAAAGCTGTCTCAGCGTAAAACCTTTGTGACGTTTCTTCATTCTCTAGGGCTTTACATCAATCAGTAGGTGTCAGTGAAGTTTATTTTGGTTTGTCAAATCACACTATACTGACAGTTAATATCTAATGTTGTAATGAGTTTATTTGAATGGTCAATAGAAAATTAATAGGAACTACTTGGATCATTGTTTTAATTTAAGTCCTTTTTAATCTAAAAAAGACAAACTTTTGAAAGTTCCAACCCCTCAAATGTGAGAATTTAGGTTTTCTCGTTTATTATATTTTTGACTATTAGTCAAAAGATATTTAAAGAATTCTACTTGGGCTCTATGAAGTTTTGTTAGACCAAATGATCAGTCAACAAAATAACTGGCTGATCGCCACATTAAATTACATTGGCTGCCAGCACCTCTAGCTGCATGTTTTTAAAAAAAATTTGAGCCCTCATACTGTATCTCCAGTAGAAATTGTGTGAAAATTACAAAAGTGGCTATATTTATAATGTATGATTATGGATTAAATAATTGCAAAGTAGCTAAAATGGAAGCATAAACAGCTGAACTGGAGGAAATACATTGAATCGCTTCCTCTTTAATATTCAAAATCTTACAATAAATTCCATAAAGTCACTTTTATAAATGCAAACATTTATGAAAACAAACATGATGGTGAAGTGGTTGAACATACTGCACCTTCCCAGGATAAAAGAATATGCAGCAATCCTTCCTGAGAGATTTCCAAATGTGTCCCATAGTCAAGAGATTCTTCCAGAGTCTGACTGAAGAGTAAGTTCCCTATTTCTCCACTGAAACCCAATTTGATACTTTAATATATTTACAACATTTGTCTGTCTGATTTATGTTTTTACCTTTTGTTTCTGTTTTCTCCTTTAGGCAGTTCAGGGAATTGAGTAAAGTGGTTTACAATCAAGATTTGACGAAGGTGCTTAGGTGCATACCTTATGTGTGGATGTAGTGAAGCTGACCACAGACTACATCACGAAAGTACAGTCATCCATCCACCTCTGACGTCTTCAACCAACCTAGACCCATATGATGAAAGCGCCACTGGAGGCGACATCCCTGTGAGGACATCACCCCAGTTCACCGGGGCCATAGGATGGTCAACTTTCCTCAAGAAGAAAGAGGAGAAAAAAAAACAAGGACGCAGAAGCCATGGTAGGAACACCTGTCAAGTCCCTATGGATCGAGGTTGTGATTTCAGCCATCTCTCTCCCCTCTGCCCCTTCTCCCATGTCTCCATTGTTTCCTTCTCTCCACCCTTTTCCACCACATACACACTAACATACCTCTGCTCACAACCATGTCAGTGCACACAACTTTTATTTATGCCAAATTGTGCTCACTGGCTTCCATTACAGGGCCAAGAGCAAAGTAAAGAGGGAACAAGATCTCTTTGTGCCTGACACTCAAAGCAGCAAGCTGGAGTCCCCTGAACACCTTGTGCTAAAGAAAACCAAACAAGAACTCTTAAAGCATTTCTTTACTTCATGGCATTTTTTTCTTTCCAGTATATATAACATACACACAAAGTAATAACAGAACACCTAACACAAACAATGATGATGAGAAGTCAAAGGCCATTTGTCCTTTATACACCAGGTACTATACAAAAGCCCTCAGTATAGATTGCAATCCAACACATTCTTTCACCACAAAGTTGAAGTCATTCAAAGCTGAACTATTCAACCTACTGTGTTAGATGAGAACAAGTGAACTAAAAGTGTGTGTGTTATTCTAATATTGACATTACTGTGGAAAATCTCTGGTAAATATTGTCATTTCTGCTACTGTCAGCTACAGAGCATCCCTCGGCTCAAGGGGAAGGTATATAAAACTCTTTCACCCAAGAATATAACTCAATAGTACAAAATAAAGCTTATACTGTCATTAACCCAAAGCTGTTACAGAGCCACTGCATTAGCAGCGTATGGATTTTCATCATTACCACTCACACCTCTTGGTAAAACTGTCCTGAATCCTGGAAATAAAATGACATGAACCTCTACAACTTACTGCAGACAATGATCAATAACTTGGCGTTTGAAAGAAATCTGCTACTTTATAAAGAAGCACAGGATGAAATATTTAGGTTCTCACAGGTGTGTGACATGGAACCATTTTCACTTCTGAATGTGCAAAAGTAACTACTTAGCAGAATAATTATCATACAAAAACATGCAGCTTTCAAAATGAGTTATACTGTGAAAACAAATTGATCTACCTACAGTTAAAATACTAAACAAATGTTTATTTATATACGGGGTATACCTTATGTAAACACCATATGTTGGCACACCTTGCATAACTGCATGCACCTTAAGGCACACTACAGTTCAGTACTTTGGTAATTAGTTTACTCTGATGACTTTCACTGAATGGAATCAGCCAGGGCTGCATAGTCCGGACAGTAGCTGCTGGTAACCAGCCACCAGCAGACTTCCAAATGGTCATCAGTCATGGTGGAGCGTATATGGATTTAATAATCTCCGTGTGAGAAAATGCTGACTCACATAAATAAGTAGAGCCAAATAATGCAGTCAATGGCACATTTCCTCATGTTTGGGTACTTTTCCTCTGTAAGTTCCAAAACGGTCCATTAGCCCTGGACTTCAGCACAATGTCAATCTGTAGTGTCACCATCTCATCCTCCACTCCGGTTCAGAAACAGCGTTGTAATTTTTGATACGAGTGAATCAACCTCAGTATCTTCCATAAATGGGTAGCACATAAATGTAGAGATGGGCTGGAGTGAGGCAAAGTCTTGAAAGCGTTTGTCAAACTCTGACCGACAGTTGTCAATCTGCTTTGTGTAGCGCGCAGTGTCAAGTTGCTCACGTGCTTTCTGTTGCGTCTCCAGCTCTGATGCGAAGTTTTGGAAGTTCCGCAAAAAGTTGTATTTTTCGTTTGAAAGCATTAACTAAGCTTATTATATTGACACGAGATCTACCGACACTACCTTTGCGATCGACGTATTACGCAGCCCTGCTATAATGTTTTTAAATAAATTAAATATCCTAACTAAGCTATGTATAATATAATAATAATGAATTTGTCTTTATAATTTTTAGTTTATAGGTTTTTATGGTTAAACTACCCATATTTAAAATCAGCGTGACCAACCGCAACAAAAATATTGTAGTGACCTCCGGCGCGGAGGAGAGGAGCGAACCCTAACTGTGCAGCTAACGAGCTAGCGGGGTGCTAGCACCTACGTAAGGCTAACACTGTTACGAGCGGGCTCCGTGCACCGCACAGCTTTAACAATCCCTCGAGGATCACACCTTCCCCTTATGTCACTGGCACAGTGTGCACCCTCACCCTGAAATGCTCTTCAGTGGCGTAATTCACTGTTCTCACATCACAGCAGTCAGTCAGCTCTCTCTTGTCTTTATTTTCTCAGTCACCGGCAACAACAGACTAACACACACAGGCATAATACAGCGAAACACTTCCAATCGAACAGCAGTCAACAGGTTCGAGCATCGAATGCTCGATGCAACCCAACACACGCAGCATGAACCCAACAGTCATTTTTAACCCCTCAAAATACAACAATAACAAGAACCGTAAAACACAATGACTCAGGATTATACCACAATATTACGCTAACTATTTACACATGCGCATAATGCTTGCCGCTGTCACTAACCCTCCCGCTGGCTGGCATAGTCATCACAATATTTTTCACACGTTAATGCATCAGCACTCTGTGCTGCACATTTATTCAACTTGAAATTATTAAAACTTTCATTTTAATCAGGCAAAAATGTATAGAGACAAAAAAGAAATTAAATTTAAAAAACAAATAAACATGCCTTAAGCTCCATGGCAACACCGTTTGAATTTTCTGTGACGTCATCGCGTGACGTTATAGAACATCAAAGGCATGTGTACAAGAGGGTATAACCTGAGAGTTCTACACACAGATCAGTTTGATCATTACAAGAAACAGGTAGAAAATATAACAGCAGCAATCTATCAAGATGTCTGAAGAGATGAACACAAGTAATGTCACCAGCGAATATTTGGACAAGATGGCTGAAGCCCTGATCTCAGAGGAACTCGAAAGGTCAGTGTTAGGCATCAGTGAGCTCATGTGTTTAATCCAGTACTGCAAAGAAGAGGAACAAGCCATGATGGATAGAAGTCAGAACGGACGCTCAGCTGTTGGCTACACTGACAGGAAAATCAATGAGTATCTATCAAGATATTTTTATAAGAGAAGAATGTTTGGTGAATATCTCCCTGAGAAAGAGAGAGACATTTTTCACCAAAGTGAGAATGTCTTGATCTCTGAGCCAGGATCAGCCTCCAGATGCTCCACCAGTTCAGAGGATACCAGGAGGCCAGTTTCACCTGCTGTGTCTTCAGGTACCAGCAGCAGCTTGGAGGAAAGCACCAGCGTGACTGAGTCCAGTGATTCTGAGACGCCAGTCAAGAAGCCATTCCTCAAGAAACTGAAGAATGCTTTGAAGAAACTCTCTCTTCAAGAGAAAAGCAAAGACTCTCTGTCTGTGCCAGAGAGTACCTCGACTGAGAGCTCCACTTCTCTGAAAACATATTTCCCTCCAGAAGAAGCCGGAGAAGAGAGGGCCCATATTAAAGAGGAGGTAAATGAGGCGGCAGCAGCAGCAGCTGGTGAACAGGCAGCAGATATGCCTTTGGATGAAAATGCTGCTGAGAAGAAGGGAGAAGATTCCAGCAAAAGTGAGAATGTCTTGATCTCTGAGCCAGGATCAGCCTCCAGATGCTCCACCAGTTCAGAGGATACCAGGAGGTCAGCTTCACCTGCTGTGTCTTCATGCTCCAGCAGCAGGGAGGAAAACACCAGCGTGACTGAGTCCAGTGATTCTGAGACACCAGTCAAGAAGCCATTCCACAAGAGATTGAAGAATGCTTGGTAGAAACTCTCTATTGGAAAGAAAAGTAAAAAGTCCTGTCTGTTCTAGAGAGTACCTCGACTGCGAAAATGAGGCGGCAGCAGATATGCCTCTGGATGAAGCACCTTCCCAGGATAAAAGAATATGCAGCAATCCTTCCTGAGAGATTTCCAAATGTGTCCCATAGTCAAGAGATTCTTCCAGAGTCTCACTGAAGAGTAAGTTCCCTATTTCTCCACTGAAACCCAATTTGATACTTTATTTACAACATTTGTCTGTCTGATTTATGTTTTTACCTTTTGTTTCTGTTCTTTCTTCTTTAGGCAGTTCAGGGAATTGAGTAAAGGGTTTTACAATCAAGAGCTGAATGTGCTTAGGTGCATATGTGTGGATGTAGTGAAGCTGACCACAGACTACATCACAAAAACACATCAGTCATCCACCTCTGACATCTTCAACCAGCCTAGACCCATATGATGAAAGCACCACTGGAGGCGACATCCCTGTGAGGACATCACCCCAGTTCACCGGGGCCATAGGATGGTCAACTCTCCTCAAAAAGAAAGAGGGAAAAAGAATGCAGAAGCCACGGTGGGAACACCTGTCGAGTCCCTATGGATCAAGGTTGTGATTTCAACTACCTCTCTCTCTCTCTCCCATCTGCCCCTCTCCCATGTCTCCACTGCCACTTCTCAGGAGAGAAAAGATGCAATATCCCAGCACTCGTTCCTGAGAGAGTTCCAAATTTGTCCTATACTCATGAGATTCCTCCAGAATCTCACTGAGGAGCAGCTCAGGGAATTGACTACAGAGGTGTCCGAACCGGAGTTGACAGAGATGTTTAGGTCCATGTGTGTTGATGTGGTGAAGTTGACCACAGACTACATTGTGCAAAAACAGTCATCCCCTACCTCTGACACCTTCGACCCCAATTCACCAAGGCCATAGGATGGTCAACTCTCCCATGCTCCAACTGTTTCCTCCCTTCCAACCCTTATCCTCTAATATATTCATTTCTATCCCTTCTTTTCCCATTATTCCAATTGGCCATACTTCAGATTTGTTGTGTTGATTTATTCTGTACACACGACATCTGCCTGTCTTGGGAGAGGGATCCCTCCTCTGTTCCCTGAGTCACTTCACACTGGAAGAAGTTAAGCTACAGCATAACCTCTCTAGAGAGAAATGTAGTTTGGCAAACTAAAGCTACTTTACGGGCGGCATGGTGGCGCAGTGATTAGCACTGTGGCCTCACAGCAAGGAGGTTCCAGGTTCAAGCTCTGGCCAACCTGGTGCCTTTCTGTGCGGAGTTTACATGTTCTCCCCATGTTTGCGTGGGTTTTCACCGGGTGCTCCGGCTTTCCCCCCACAGTCAAAAGACATGTACTTTAGGTTGATTGGTGACTCTAAATTGCCCATTTTGTCGTTTGCCTCTAAGTGTCAGCCCTGTGATAGACTGGCAACCTGCCCAGGGTGTACCCCGCCTCTTGCCCAGTGTCAGCTGGCATTGGCTCCAGCCTACATCCACAACCCTCTTCAGGATAAGCCATATGGATAAATTAATTGACTCTCTTAATAAAAGTGATTACAATTGGGCATACAGCATCTATCTCTGTGTGGATCCTTAAATATTAATAGTAGTCCTATTCTTTAGGACACTTACATGATAAGAAAAAGTCAATCCAAGTCAATTTTGTATGTTTCTGAGAAACCAGAGTAACAGTTAGTGTACTTTAGAGGCTGCAGTGTTCATTACATCTTGGCTCTGATTTTTGTAGATTTGTTGATCAGTTCTATTGTGAAACTGTAATAAAATGATAATAAAACTGTAGTAGCACATATTTCTGAGGGACTGTAACCCAGAGAGCTGCTGCAGACAAAATAACTCACACATACATATATGTATACAGTAGGCATCAACAATTTGCTGCTTGCTACTTGACAATGTTGAGTCACACAGCACCACCTACTGGATTGTGCCTGTAGTGGTGTTGTCAACCAGGAGCATCAACAATCATTTAAGAAATATTTTAACATTTTAATGGATGTGAAACATGATTGTGCAGGTTTGATGTAACAGAATATACAAAGCTAAAAAGGATTAATTAAATGAAAATTTAATTATCTCTCAGAGGAAATCAGGTAATGTAACAAAAAGCAAAATATGAATCAAAAACCCTTTTCTGCAGGAGACAGATGATGCAAAGATTAGATGTCATTAAAGCTTCAACAATTTCATGGGACTAATTTTTCTTCTGATCCTTTGAGCATATAGACTACACACCACGGGAAATGGAATAAAACTTTTTTAAAAGTAAAAAAAAAACAAGTGTTCACCAGCACCAGGTGGTGAACAGGCAGCAGATATGCTTCTGGCTAAAGATTCTGCTTAGAAGAATGGAGAAGATTCCAGCAAAAGTGAGAATGTCTTGATCTCTGAGCCAGGATCATTCTCCAGATACTCCAACTGGTCAGAGGATACCAGGAGGTCAGCTTCACCTGCTGTGTCTTCATGCACCAGCACCTTGGAGGAAAACACCAGCGTGACTGAGTCCAGTGATTCTGAGACACCAGTCAAGAAGCCATTCCACAAGAGATTGAAGAATGCTTGGTAGAAACTCTCTATTGGAAAGAAAAGTAAAAAGTCCTGTCTGTTCTAGAGAGTACCTCGACTGCGAAAATGAGGCGGCAGCAGATATGCCTCTGGATGAAGCACCTTCCCAGGATAAAAGAATATGCAGCAATCCTTCCTGAGAGATTTCCAAATGTGTCCCATAGTCAAGAGATTCTTCCAGAGTCTCACTGAAGAGTAAGTTCCCTATTTCTCCACTGAAACCCAATTTGATACTTTATTTACAACATTTGTCTGTCTGATTTATGTTTTTACCTTTTGTTTCTGTTCTTTCTTCTTTAGGCAGTTCAGGGAATTGAGTAAAGGGTTTTACAATCAAGAGCTGAATGTGCTTAGGTGCATATGTGTGGATGTAGTGAAGCTGACCACAGACTACATCACAAAAACACATCAGTCATCCACCTCTGACATCTTCAACCAGCCTAGACCCATATGATGAAAGCACCACTGGAGGCGACATCCCTGTGAGGACATCACCCCAGTTCACCGGGGCCATAGGATGGTCAACTCTCCTCAAGAAGAAAGAGGGAAAAAGAATGCAGAAGCCACGGTGGGAACACCTGTCGAGTCCCTATGGATCAAGGTTGTGATTTCAACTACCTCTCTCTCTCTCTCCCATCTGCCCCTCTCCCATGTCTCCACTGTTTCCTTCTCTCCCCCCTTTTCTTTATCAGAGGCCATTTGTCCATTATAGACCAGGTACTGCCAGCCCTCAGTATAAATTGCAAGCCAATAAATTCTTTCACCATAAAGTTTGTCTACAGATGTAGAAACAGGCAGTTAATGTGGTGTGTGTACCTAGGCCTAACTTTCTGTCTGTTCGTGCCAACATGGGCTCTGGCAATGTGTCCTCTCTGGCTCTTGGTTGCTGAGCAGCACCAGACAGACGTGTCAGTCTCAACTGATTTGTTCCAGTTAATAATGCTGTCTAAGCATAAAACCTTTCTTGTGACAGTTTCTTCATTCTCTAGGGCTTTACATCTGTCAGTAGGTATCAGTGTAGTTTATTTTGGTTTCTCAAATCACATTACACATATAGATCCATCAAATGCATATAGGCTGTGTATATAGTACTTTATTTTTATTCCTAATGAATGTTCTTTTTTTAACTTCTGATCTCAGCCTTACAGTTTATTTGCCCACTGCTGCTTTACATAAGGACATGTAGATGTGCACTGAGAGCTGCTGTACCAGAGTCAAATTCCTCGTGTCCAACACACCTGGCCAGTAAAGCTGATTCTGATTATACTGACAGTGATGGGGTTAATATCTAATGTTATAATGAGTTTATTTGAATAGTCAATAGAAAATGAATAGAAAATACTTCAATCATTGTTTAATCCAAGTCACTTCAAGCTTTAAAAAAAAAACTTTTGAAAGTTCCAACCACTCAACTGTGAGAATGTATGATTTTCTCATTGATTATATTTTTGACTAGTTGTTGAACAAAAGGTATTTAAAGAATTCTACTTGGTCTCTATGAAATTCTGTTAGACCAAATGATCAATTAACAATAATTTGCCGATCTCTGCATTAAATTACATTGGCTGCTATCATCTCTAGCTGCATGTTTTTAAATTTAAAAAAATTTGAGCCCTCACATCTCCAGTAGAAATTACATGAAAATTACAAAAGTGGCTATATTTATAATATATGAATATTGATGAAATAATAGGAAAGTGGAAAGGGGGGCAGAGAATACCTTGACTCACTTCCCCTTTGATATTCAAAATCTTACAACAAATTTCCTAAAGGTACTTGTATAAATGAAAACGAATGTGATACAAGAGTTTCCTGTTCACTGTATATTGTATACTTGAGGGTTTTAACCGATAGATGGCAGCCTCCGGTTTCACAGATGAAACATAATCAAGGTCTGAGTATTTACTCATACAGCTGTCTGCATCACACATAGAAGGAATTTAAAAAAAAAAAAAAAAAAAACCTCGACCTCTCAGTTTTACACAACAAACAGGACAGCGTGTCGGCTGTGTATATCTTTTCACTGATGTTCTCCAGTGGTCCATATCAGGTGCAGTCCCCATTTTCATTCACATAATCTGGCTCATCTGTCACCAAAAAGAGTGTTTGAGTTAATATTTGAGGTTTAGGATGCAGGACACACTTAGTTTGGTTTACTAAGTTTACACATTTAGGGGTGGGACAGATCACAAAACTAATGGTTAGAATCGTATCATTTTTTCGGATCAGCAAAAATGGGAGATGAATTTAACTTCACTTTCCATTTATCCTTTAAAGAACTAAAGTGAGCACATAAAGCAAGGAACCTTTGCACATGATCTTAATTGAAAACAACAATCAAGATCCTCAATGTTTAAAATCTTAAAATAAAATAAAAAAACTTCCTCTGTAAGTCATTTCACTTCCAGTTTAAATGCATGGCTCTTTCCATAAACAGGGTTTAAGAGTGCAACAGATAATTAATTTGCTATCAATTTATCTGCAGATTATATTTTCAATTAAACACTTACTGGGTGGTCTATAAAATGTCAAAATATTTCCCACAGGCCAGGTAACAAACAACTTCTTTTTTATGACCAGTAACTCATAACCCAAACGCAGTCAGTGAGGAAAAACTAACATTTTTACACCTGTGAAGCTGGAACCAGAAAATGTCTCAAATTCTTACTTAAATTTGACTTGAAGAAAAAAATATTAACTCTCCACTTACAGATTAACAATGTTGTTGGGGGAGATCAGCTAACATTTTTTTGAGTGTAATTCACACATCCGGTTTATGCCACTTACCATCTTGTTCCTGTTCAGCCTGGTCAAAGAACTGAGAGTTCTCATAGTCGTCCACATCTGTTTGGTGAAACCACAGTTTGAATGAGTCAAGTTTTAATACCAGCCATTTTGTCCACAGCTCTCAGCATCAAATTTAATTACATCATGAGATCCAGCTGTCTTTCACACTTCTACAAATTATTCACTAATTCAGAGCCTCTTATCTCAAATGGAATCAGAATGATTGGACATACCATCTTTTACTGGCAAAATGTTTACATAGTCTTCTGGAGTCTGACCAGCATCTAGAAAAACATAATCACTGCATGTAATGAAGGTTAATAACACAACTGTCCAAGTTGGACAAATTGGTAGCAAATGTATTTTCAGTTTTTAGCGGTGAAGTACAAAGGAAGAAGTAAAACTCTCACCAGCTACCATGTTGTCTTCATTTTCATACAATAGATGTGGCATTGGAGTTCTATGAAACAACACACATATGACATTTTCTGACCAACTTGTTCTGTGTGTAAATAGATACTGGCTAGTCTACAGCTGTGGACATGTTATTAGACATCCAAAACATCCTAAATTCTTCAAGTTAGACTTGGTTCACAGTATACAGAATACTCAGTTTTAAGATGAGTATTACAAATAGTATTTAGTTTTGGTGGTAATTGAGATTCTCCTTAGTTTTTGGGTTTCTGATTTGCCACCTTTTTATCTTATAGCACAAAAGCCACTTTATAAAAGTAACTTAGCACTAAATCCACTTTCTGAGTTAGTAAATTGTATGTACAGTCACTATTAAACTGTTAGGTGGATGAATGAATCCATTACTTTGAACATAATGTCCTTCATAGTACTTCAAGTAGCTACTACTGGATGTCCAAAGACTTTAAAGATATGAACTATAAATCATTTACCAGCAAATATAGCATCGTCCAGCCTAAAGCAGTCAATTTAAGTGTAAGCTAACACAACTTCCAATAATTAGTTTTACAGATGTATCTTCTGTAAAAGTATGTGACTTATGAGTTGTTTTATTTCTGTCTGCATACATGAATGTTTAAGAGTAAGTTCATACTATGCAGTTTGAGAAGAAAATATTCAGCTATACTAGCCTAACCATCATTTACTCATTTAGCTGATCAAGTGTTTATCAAGTTTCAGGTTAGACCAAATTTCCTATAATTTCTTCTTCTCTAAACAGGTTATATATCAAGCTGGGCTTACATGGGTTAAATCAGCGTACCTCTGGTTCAAACATTAACTGGGATATCTTTGCACAATGTACATAAAAAATAATTTTTCAATATATTTTAATCAAGAAAGTGAATGAGATGAGTTGAAACACTTACACATATGTATGTTCCATAGTTGTTCTTATGTGAGCTGTAGCAACACAGGACAGTTTACATCAACAACACAGCAAAATTATAATTATATATATGAAAACACAACACAAATTTAAGTCACTGTTTTTGTGTGTTGTGTATGTAAACTTACTATTTACTACATTTTCATAGTCTGATTGTTCAGTTGCATCTGTAAGACAGTACATTGTGGTTAAACATAAACCTTTTTTCATAGATCAGTTTCTTTGTTTTAAAGCTGTAACTTACCTGGTGATAATTCCTCTTGAGTTTCACTGGGAAAGACATGAATTCAAGTAAAACCTTTCAGTTTATATTTGCATTGTGATATTTCTAATCCGCTGTTTATCACTAATGTGTTGAGATTCCGACACATTCAAATTCATAACAACACTGCATTAAAATTAACAACATATGCCAACAAGTACGTTTTGGAAAATACACTTGTGTTTTCTTTCCAAGACTTTGGTGGGAAGATCAATGTAAGTCTCAACAGCTGGTGTGGTTCTGAAGCTTGCTAACTACACATAAAGACATATAAAACATCGAATTGTGGTTTTATGGATATTTACATACTGGAACATCTTTTTTTTTTTTTTTGCGAACTGATGTTCAGGGTGGATGGCTGGTGTAAAGTTTTGATCTTTGAGACTAGAGTCTGGAGATCCCATCCACAGTAATATCTGTGATTAGGTTTTGGCAACAAAACAAATACTGGAGACGCAGACCTGAAGCTGATATTACTTTTCTCATGCAAAAAATAAGAATGGCTGTTGCTTGAAACACATTAACACATTAAGTTGTAGTGATGAGATTAGCTGGTGTGTAACTTGTATACATACTTTGTGGTTAAAGTTCTCTGATTGGTTTTGGTAACTGAAAAATAACACAGCAGAAATATGTCCAAGGTAGTTAAATATGCAAATTAATTATAGTGAATAATGAATAGAAATCCAGGTGAATAACAGCTGTCACAGATTTACTTTACCTGTTTTTGATCGTGTCACAGCAAACATACTTCCTTCGCGTTGGCTATCAAGGTGGCATTATAATGTGAAAAATTTTGTAAAGTAGTTAAAATGTGTTCTATTACTAAATATAATTTTAACAAAACTTCAAGCAAGCTACATTTTACTACAACGATGACTTGGAATTTGTTTTTGTTTGCAGATCTCAGCAATTAAACTGATGAGGACGGTGTTATAAACAACAGAAACCAATTCAAAGTTATCTGCCAACATGGTGTGAAAGTATGGGGCAAATATTAAATACTCACAATGTCTCCGGACTGTATATCTGATGCTCCTCATATATGATCACTGCAAGATATCATAGCGGGTGATGCTTTTAACTTAATGGTCTCTTTGTACTAGGCTGCACAAAGAACTGTGCCACAGACAGTTACAAAGCTGACATTACATGTACCGTGATTGCAAGTTTGAAGAATTACAAACCAGCAAAAAATTGCCTGCCCAGTGTAGTATACAAGATATGACTAATTGAATTTTTTTTCACACAGTTTTTGGTACTTTGAATCATCAGTAGCAGTTAGTGCTGATTTTATGTGCATTTTTTATATGCATATAAAAAATGGATACACTGGAATAAAGAACAAAACTTGAAATAGTAAAGCTAATTTGCTCAAATAAAATGTGACAAAGTGCAATGGACATAGGAGTTTTGTCTACTCAAGAGACTCCACAGCCAGGTCCGTGTGAACCAGTGAGGAGACTTTAACTTTCTTACAGAAACGTACAGTATTATCAAACATTTCATAAATGTATTTCCCAAAGATTTGAAATATTCTTTTAATATTAAATACTGGTTTGGTTGTCTCCATCAAGTCTATGGTCCTTTGTCATACAAGTAGCAGTCAAAACACTGTGGTAACCAACAGCCAAAAACAAGCCCATATCTGACGCTGTTCTTCTTATATACCAAATGCACTTACTAGATTTCCGTTTACATCTCAAACACAGAAAAGACAGTAGACTTAGCGACACTACTGACACGACAGTCAGGACTGCAGCCAGCAGACTGGAGTTTCCAATCATACCTAAAAGACAGATGTGACCCAGTGTTACATAAAACCAAGGTAACTGTCAAAGTGGTCTGACACAGTTGATGGACGGGTTAAAATCTTACCATCCATCTAAAATGTTAAGTTATCTTTAGTCCTTAAATGAGCTTGCTGAAATGAAATTGATGAGAAAATTACTGGTCAATAATCAAAATGACTTTCTTGTCACGGTTGAAGTAGCTGCAGTCTTCCTGTTAAGAGTGAATCACAGGATGTGGTTGGCCGAAACAAAACTCAAATACAGTTAGTTTGCATAGGGGACTTAGACCTACTGTATGTATACTGCCATTTAAGAAGCCTCACACACCCCAAAGCAAAATACTGTGGTATTTTTTAAGAGTATGAGGTGATGAATGCATGTCAACTTTAAACAGTCTTAGGTTTTTTATATTTATCTATATCTGCTGGAGCTGGTTTTACTTGTCTGTTATAGATTTTAGTTTTGCACTTGGCTCAGTTGAGTGCACACACAAAAAAAAAGTAAAAACTGAAACTCTCACCTATTTCACACATAATTTTCTCTAAAGTCAAACTGCTGTTGTCTCAAAAATAGCTTTTTCACCTACCAAATACCTTTAGCATGCACTATCTTTCAAGAGGCTACTTGATCAATATATGTTTAAAGAAGCTTAATTTAGCCAGAATAAACAAAGTTGTTTTTAAATTACTTAATTAAATTATTTAACAAGGCAAACGTCATCAGAGAGTCACTGTGAAGTTTTGTTCTTTTGGGAGTAGCCAAAGTTCATTTTAAGTTTTACTATATTGTTATATGTCCGTTTATACACAGGCCTCTGCTTATGGGTGTACGACTACTGTACTTCAAAAAATATCATCTTAAAAGGACAATATAGTTTGTCACTTTTATTAAATGTTAATACATTTTTATGAGTGCATAGGGAGATTTAAAATGTATTGTTTACAGTCATGACATGCACTACTTTACCACAAAATAAGTATATCAGTGAACTGAGAGTATTATGCAAGAGACAATATATTGTACTAAATTTGCTTTTGAGTTACTTTGGGGTTTGTTGTCTCGGTCTTATAATTGTTATGGAGGTTGTATTATGTGAACCTGTTTCATTGTAAAAAAAATCACTCATGTCAGCTGAGCATTTAGTAGAGGTTCATCGTCAATCTAAACATCTGAACATTATGGTTTTTCTTCATTTTTCTTAAAACTTTTTCAGCTTTGTCAGGTAATTGACAAGGTTTAATGATGAAGACTAGCAGGTGTCATATGAAGGAATAGCATGTACTCTCAAACTAATAAATTGTGTGAATTACAAACTTGTTCTCTTGAATTACTTAAATTACACTTTTGTAATAATTTGTGCATAAATAATCTGTGTGGCCTTAAAACTGCATGGATAATATTTTTAACTAGTGCTACAACAAAAACATGCAGAGACAGAAAATCAATTGTCAACAAATGTGTTGACAATTTAAATCATTTATCAAGAAAAGGTGTTAAACATTCTCTAGTTCCTGCTTTTCCCAGTTTTTATATCGCTGTATCTTGAATATTTGTGGGTTTTGGATCATTGCTCAGATAAAAACAAGGCATTTGAAAATGTCAAAAAATAAATTTTTAACAGGCAAGAATGTCAGAGACGTATCTCTGTTGAGAATTTAAAAAAAATTATTAGGGCATAATCGTTGCTGTTTTTAAGCGCTGTGGGTTTGGTTTTATAATTTGGGTCATGGTCTTGTGGAACGTAACATAACTCTTTCCAGTAGAGCACAATGTTCCATGACAGGCAGACTACCGGTATATATGTGTTACACTGCGAAACATGGCCAGAAGTTTCAGTCCCACACCCACATGCCTAGTTTTGAGCATCTCTGCAAACCCCCAGATTACATTAAGTGACAATGTTTTTAGACGCTACATTATCTGTGAATGGCAACAAGAGTAGCTCTGTAACAGGACACAAATGCTCCTGGAATCTCCAAGAGGGTCAAATTTCAATCCACGTGTCAGACCTGGTCTGCAAACCAATGGGAAGACAGTACGGTCTTACTGGGTGAGATTGCCTTTATACTGCAGCAAAAGTATAAAAGCAAACTGGCTACTACTTTTACAGTCAGTACAACTCATGTAGAATTAGAGGATAACAGTATCTTCTGTGTAAAAATCTGCCATAAGAAAAATAACAACCCAAGAAAGCAATTACAAGCGCTGACTACAAGCTAATATGATGTTTTACATGCAAGTCACAAACATAGTTTTTCTTATTTGATAAGGTGGTATGTTACCTTCAGTGCTCCGGCCACTTTCATTCTTAGTAGAAGTAGAACGGCAGCAGCTTCCTCTTTCAACGCCTCCCCACATCCGTCACAGTCATGACACAGAAAACCTCTTTGAGGAACACATCTACTATAACCATATAGTTTCAAGTGGACACCTAATGTCACACTGATCAACTCAACTCACTGTACTGATTTTTTTCATTTCTCTAAAGCTGTTCCCAAAGTCTTACTTAGTCTTTATCAAAGGTGGCTATAATTAAAGGTTTTTAACTAGGTCCTTAGAACAAATGCTTGAGAGAGTTTCCCTGTGTTATTTAGATAAATGTATTAAAGTTAAGATAAATTTAAATCTTTTTTAATCTAGGTTTTGTGACTGATTATTAATAATCATCTGCAAAAAAAAGACATAGAACTAAGTTGTTACCATGTACCAGAACTATTACACTTTATCCAGCATGATATATTTAGAAGTAACTGTGAAGATGTGTTTGGCAGAGCAAGAGGATGTAGAGTGTTGTTTCAGGGAACTGTAAACTAAAAGCGGAGCTTGCATGGAGAACTTGCACATGCACCGTTGTCTCTTGCTTACCTCAGACACTTCATAACCTATTGTATGGTGTTTGGAGCTATTGGAGCAACATATTTAATAAATGCAGGCTAAAAGCAAAGAACAAAGTAGGAGAAGTTGATAAGGAGAATAAAAGGAAAGGCCAGAGGTGTGGTTTCATACATGCCATACATTCAGAAATGGCTTGTTAGGATTGGATTTCAGGAGTTACAGTTGTTTTATTTACTGTTAGTATTATTTTGCTTTTATAATGATAAAGTTTAGTATGACTGTTTGTGTTTCATTAACAGCACCATGTATCAGTATTAAAGTTGTTTTTCTCATTTTATGGATTTAAAAAACTTGCCAAAAGTGATGTAAAGATTTAAAATAAAAGCTGTCTTGACATTTTATCAGCACAGTAGTGTATTTTGTGGCATTCATGTGGACGGCCAAGTAAGAATTTCATTGTACAGGGAAACACGTTTCCTAACTGTGCATATGACAAATAAACACTTTGACCTTTGACCTTGACCCATAAACATGGATGTCTGCATTCTCTGTGTATACGTTGGAGGGAGTTTCACGGATTACATCATTTTACAAACCTTTCCAGATTTTTTTCAATGTGAACAGTTAACAAACCAACACTTTGGATTATTCATTCATTCATTTGACTTCCAGTGGTTTAACATTTTATTGTGGAAGACGGAAGTTCCGTTATCGCTCTCGTTAAAGGGCGGGGTCATAGATGTAGGTTGGGGTGTGTTCCTGCGACTGCACGGGTCCCAGCGTTTCGCGTTGTTGTTTTTAGTAATAGTCACGCGCTCTGTCTCGTGCTGCCATCTCCTGATCTGTCCTGAGAGCTGCCTCGCCCATGCAGCAGAATGGCTCGAGCGGGTCCAACGGTTCTGATGGCTGCAGCAGGGAGCGCCAGGCTCCGTCCTTCAGCCCCCTGCCCGCCGCTACTACACGGGTAAGACGCTTCATTCAGGAGAGAAGGACCCTGCCGCTACCCAGAGTGATGGTGGTATTCTCGGCCGCAGAAGACACCGAGAAACCGAGCGATGCCATGTCCAGCTCGGACTCTACGGAGGATGATTTCCGAAAGCCGGCCACCCCTTCACCGAACCTCACCCTGAGCAAGCCGCTCCGCTCCACCCTGGACACACAGGAGCAGGAGGTAGGCCGCTATACGGTACCGTTTTCCATGGAAAATCATGTTTAATCCAGCACACAAACCAGAAAACAGTTAATTATGTTTAGCTCCAAATATGAAAGGTTTTAGTACTTAATTTTTCATGTAAACTTTAGATTTACCACTGAATATAACAGCTGTTATTCATAACAGCAAAAATCCCAAAATAAGAATTACAAATAGTAAATTTTAGTCACTGCCATGTTCTATCCTGCATATGGTTATTAACACAGGAGATGGATTATAGAGACTACAGAACCATAACTTTAGCATTATATGTACTATATACTATGATTCACATTACATCAGTGCAAGTAAGTTGATATTCCTACAAGCTGTACTGTCAGATGTAGGATTGTCCATGGATGTTAAACGGTATTAACTGTATATTAAATGCATTATTTACACAATGTATATGCATATGATAAAAGTACATACAGGCAATACATTTAAGATTATCAGCAGCTGACTGGAACGTGGCATCATTGGCTGGCAATTGTCACATGACTTATCACATGATAGGTCATGTCCTCATGGAAGTGTCCTGCCCAGTGATGGATGTAAACATGGCTACAGCAGAGTGCTCCTCTTATGTATGTGGTCTGACACTGTAAAGTCATGGCTGATCAGACACATAGGACACGTACCTCATCAGACAGGCAATTCACAGCTCTTTGAATAAGCCAGAGACTTAGCAAATGAGCATTTTTATTCATTGTGTTCTGGTGAGGTACCCAATACAGTCTATTAAACAATAGCTTTTGTTTTACCAAAGAAATCTGCATTCTTCTCCACTGTGTGCATGTATGGGTGGTGAGGGGCACTGAACTGCAATGCAGTTAAATAACAGCCCTGCAAAAAACTAAGGCTGCAACTGTCGATTTATTTTCTTCAGTGATTAATTGGTTGTTTATTTTCTTGATTGGTGTCTGTTAACCATCAGAAAATATTTATAAATGTCCTTCACAATATCAGTAAATATCATGTTATGTCCAACAGTCTAAAACACAAAAATATTAATTTAACTATAATGTAAGACCAAGAAAAGAGTTTACAGCCTGGAACTGTTGTGTCATTTTTGCTTGAAAAATGTTTGAAGAGATTAAAGTCTTATCCAACTTGTTGGCTATTAACTACTTGACTAATTGTTGCAGCTCTTAAAAAAATATTATGAGAGTTAAAGATAACACTGTTAGCTAGCACTCTCATAACTGGAATGGTTATAGAGTGGTTAATTGCTACTCCTTTAATTTGTGAAGGGAGTTCTGCATCCTGTCCAACACTTGTACCTACTTTATTAAAAGTGTCTCAGTCCTCAGACCATTATAAAGTAAGATTATTGTACACAACTTTCTTTCTCCTCCATCCTGAACTTCTCATTAACAATAAACAGAAAAAAGCCACACCCCTGGCTTATCAAAATTAGTAATATTATAGATAGATTTGGAGAAAGCATTTATGACTACTTGGTTACTTTCTGTTGGGTACAAAATACCCAGCCATAGCTGAGTTTACAACCTGGTAAAAAAGCAGTTTTTACTTCCTTCTTCTTCCATTCATCATTTGTTTCTCTGTGTGTAACAAACATCATATTCTCACATGGCCACTATCATGGCTGTAGACATTCATCTTTTTGTTTACTTGTTTTATTTCCACTCTCCTCTAAGTTTCCAGAGGTCATCTCTCTGAACGTCGGGGGCATGTATTTCACCACTCGCTTGTCTACTCTGCGGCGATACGAGGACACCATGTTGGCTGCCATGTTCAGTGGGCGTCACTACATCCCACATGATGCTGAGGGACGCTTCTTCATTGATCGGGATGGAACATATTTTGGGTGAGTAGCACAGTGTATGAGCTGTACCCCAGCTGTTTTTGGACCAGGGATCTTACCAAAGTATCAAACATCAACATAAGATTTTCTGTTGATTTACTGAAGACACAAAAGAACGATATCAGTATTGCACAAGGCTTTAACATGGTTAAAAATGGAACCAGGTGCACTAATATCTTTTCATGAGTATGGCAGAACCACCTGGGAGATAGAGGGTTATAGTGTGAGAGTAAGAAGTATGTAAATGGTAACTAGGATATAGTGGAGGACAAATATTTAGTCCCTAAAAAAGCTCACAGTCATCACTCTGAAAGTGGCCTCAAAACTGCTGATAGTGAGTCATTAGATCCTGTCAGGTTTCCATGAGTATGGGCAGTTCCCCAATAATATGAAAATAGCAAAGGTTATTCCA